TGCAGTGCGCTTTATATAAACATTACAGATCTGAAGGTACCCAGACCCAGGACGGGTCTGGTTTGAAGCTGTTCCTGACTCACACTCGGAGCTCAAAGGAAAAGAAAATACTTTTATTTTCCAGTTTTTTCAATGTACCTGGCTCATCTAACTCACATCTTGTTACCAAAAAAAAAAGAAAAATAAAAGGCAGTTGCATAACAATTACTTATAATACTTGGACTGAAGAGGTAGCATGTGGAAAAACTATTAGTTGCAAGAATGCTTTAAAGCCTGTTCAGGTGTTTCCCTCTAAAGAATTAGCTTTATTCATTCAGGTTCATTAATGTTTTTCTTTTCTGTTTTTGGTTTGCTTTATTTTGTTTACAGACAATTGTTTCGTGCATATTGATAAGGTACTCTTTGAGAATGCCATCTGATTATCATCTTCCAGGATGCATTTTTAAATATGTGGCTTTGCAAAGCTGCAGTTATCCTTTATGTGTGTTCTAAAAGCAGCAGAGCAAAGGAAGTGGTGTCCAGGTAACTCATCTCTTCAAATGCTTTCAAGTGCTTTCAAAATGTATGTGAAGTGAGACTTCAAAAGGAAAATAAAGAAGCAGTCTATTTTTAAAGCCTTGGACTGGATTTAGAGGATCCAGGCTGTGACTCCAGCTCTGTGGTAAGCTTTCTGCCCTACCTTTGGTAGGTTACTGGAACAGAGAGTTGGAAAATGGCCAAGTTGTGCTTTCATCAGGGGGGCTGGAGGTGTTGAAACTGGAGTAACAGTGCAGGAACACCATTTCTGGGGAGAATGAGTGTGTGTGCCCTTACACATGGCTTATGCACAGAGTTCCTGTGATTGGCAATTTGCTGAGGAGGTCCTGGGTGAAATCCTCTTCTGTTTGACTATGATAAAGATTTGAATCTGTTTTGAGGGTAGAACCTGTATGTGGTCTTAGCTCTTTGGAGCAGGGGTAACACTGATGTCTTTTTGCCTTCTCAAAGGATCTTGGTTTTGCTCTGCTGCAGCATGGGAAGGATTTTGAGATGTCAGACTTTTGTGGCAGGAAAAGTAATTTTTATGTTGAGCTTTGTGAATTGCTTAACATCTCAGAGATTCTTTCCCCAGTATGTATAATGAAGAGAAGATTATTCTGTTTCTTCAGTCACTGCCTGTGTTTTAACTTTAAGGTCTTTGGGATAGATATTTCTTACTGATTATTGTCCTGTTAGTGCGTTATGGAGAGTCAACACCAAGACAAAAAAAATGTCAAGTTTTGTCCTCTCTCAGAAAAACATTTGTAGGGAACTGATGTTCAAGTGCTGGAACCATTTCCATCTCCAGCAGAAAACAGTGATTGGGAATTCTACAGGAATATCTCAGGGTGTGCATTTTAAGCACTGTGTCTTGTGAGCCATGTGAATTTTACCAGAGCTGGGAAAGGCACGGCTGAAGATGGTGCTGGAGCAGCAGAGCTGCCAGCCTGCAGTGGAGCAGGTTCCTGCAGCCCTGGCATGTCCTGCACAGGGAGTTGAGGTGCTTGGCCAGGATCCCCTGGAGGATGGTGCTGGAAAAGGGAGGTGGATCCAGAGCCTTTGAGCTTGACTCTGCTGCCCTCTCCTTCACTTGCTGAAAAGGCTGTGTGAGAGACAACAAACACTGCACCACATCCTATTGTAAATGCTGTCTCACCAACAAGGGGAGAGAATGATGCATCCGACTCCATGTTCTCAAAAGGCTCATTTATTTATTTTACTATATTATATTAAAGAATACTATACTATACTAAACTAAAGAATACAGAAAGAATACTTAATAAATGCTAAGAAGATAATAATGAAAACTCGTGACTCTTTCCAGAGTCCCAACACAGCTTGGCCCCAAATGGCCAATGATTGAAAACCACTCACAACAGAATCCAATGAAACAATCACCTGTGGGTAAACAATCTTCAAACACATTCTACACAAGCACAACACAGGAGAAGCAAATGAGATGAGGATTATTTTCCTTTTCTCTGAGGCCTCTCTAGCTGCCTTTCAGCTTCCCAAGAGAAAAACCCTGGGCAAAGGAATTTTTGCAGAGAATGTGAATGGCACAATATCCAGCTAAGATATTAGGAGGCAGTGGTTGCAGTAGAAGCCCCAGGGACCGCTTTGCCCTGGGGTTCTCCTCCTTGAGCATTTTCTCTTGGAAAACGTTCTGTGAACAAATTAGAAACGGAGCTTTGAACATGAAGAGTCTTAGAATAATTTTGGTTGGAAAAGACCTTGAAGGTCAGCTCCAGCTGTGAACCTAACACTGCCAAACCCACCACTCAGTCATGTCTTTAATTGCCATATTTACATGTCTTTTAGATGCCTCCAGGGATGGTGACTCAACCCCTTCCCTGGACAGCCTCTTGCAATGCTCAGCAATCCTTTCAATGGAGAAATTTTTTCCTAATATCCAATCTAAACCTCCCGAGGCACAACTCGGGTTTTCCTCAATCTACTATTTCCAGGTTGTCCTCAGAAGCCACGTAAGTTTCCCTCAAATGATGATAGGTACAAGAATCTCTCCATCAAAAATTATTTCAGACTTTATATGATAGGTGTCCAACCTTGTACAGGCTTTAAAGTATGTAAAAAGTAATTAGAGTTTGGATTCTTTAAACAGATGACAAAAAAATGTATTTACAGATTTTTGTATATTATTTTTCTGGAGGAAACTGGAACTTCCCTCTCTTCAGTCAAAACTGCTGTGTATGTAAACATTTTTTATCTGCTAATCACTGACAAGCATTGCTAAATAATAACAGCCTAATAATTTAGTCATCACTAGTTTGTTTTTTTTTTTTTAATCAGCTTTTCTCATAGTAAATTGGTTGCAAAATTTGTGCTAGTGACCATGTTAATATTATCAGTAGCACTAGAGAAAAGTCAGCATGGAATTCCAGAACTGAATGCTCTTATCCAAAATGATCCTTGCAACTTTTCTGCCAAGACCTCTTTCTTCCTGTGGCTATGTAGATCAGGATGGACTTTGAAGCTCTTTCACAGACTAGGACGTGCTGCTTTTTCTATTTCATTTTTTTGGTCTTTAAAGCTTTCAGAGTTATGGAACATTACGAGACTCCTAAGCCTCTCCAAGTAGGGATTATAACTTGAGTTTGTGGAAGTGATCTTCAGCAAGACAGGGAATGCACAAGTGTGGTTGTAGGCCATTGCATGGGCAGGGATTCATAAGTGACTGATCTGAGCTGGGAGTGTTTTAGAGGTGTAACCTTGAGACTGACTTGTGTGCGTGACAATAATTTTGCAGGCTGACTGAATAGCTATTAGTAAGACAAGATGAAAAACGTTTTTGCCCTGCCAGCTGACCTTCTGCAGATTGTGGCTGGTTTTCCACAGAGAGCTGCTAGCAAGGAGAATGGGTGATGCAATTTGTTGTTGTAATTTGCATTTTTATTCAAGAACATCTTCCCAGTGACCTCCTAATGGCTGAGCAGTGTCAGATGACAGCGCTTTTGCTGCTCTTGGTGTCTGCCAAGGTCTCGGGCTGGGATGTTCAGGAAATGGGAAGGGTAAAGCTGGGCTCCTCTCCAGGCAAAAGCAGTCGATGGGGCTGTAGGAAAAAGCCTTCTCACCTGACTCAGAACCAGGGGGTTCATCCAGGTATCTTTCATCTGCTGGAGTGAGGCAGAGAGGATTAGGAGAGATGGGCAGCAACCCAAGTGTTACCCAGGGTCTGGGTCTAGCCTCCGTGAGAGGGAAAATCTTGTGGTTGTTCAAGCCAGAGCTTGTGTGACTTGCCTGGCACTGATGAGGCTTGGGTTTGAACATTGCCATGCAGCTTACAAACCCAGGGATCTTCACCTTTTCCAGATGGATGGTCTGCAGTTTGAGATTTGCTGTATGGATGACTGTCTCTTTAAGACCAGTATGTGATTTATTTATTTACAGTAAAAATTTGTGCTTACTTTATCATTTATATTAATAAATATCATTTATATTAATAAATATCTTGTGCTATTGCATCATGCCAGCTGGATATTTGATAAATAATTTGCTGTTACCCAAATTCTGACACATTCAGCTCAGCTGGACCAAAAGAAATTTTAATTTAAAATAATGTACTATGTGCTTACTAAAATCAAAATATTGCAAAGCAATGAACTAGTGGGTTAAAGACAAATTTGGGAAACTAACATAATATAAATACACTAGCTGTGCAGAATATATTTGAGAACTAAATTTATATTGGGCTTCTGTTTGGATTAAACTTAAAAGCACTGCTTTTATATACTTAGGGACCGTAAACTAATGCTGTTGTGTGGCCAAGATAAGTCTTCTGGAAAGTACACTCAGCTTTGGAAATAGAAGGCAAGTGGAGCAGAAGCAGGCAGGCAGGAGCAAGCAAGAAACCACAATGTTTCCTTGAAATCCACTTCTTTCTCCTCTTCTTCCCATATAAAAATACATGCTTATTATGGATTTAGAGTATTATTATCCTATACTACAGACAGAAGTTTTGGTATCTTTTTAATAAACTAATTTAATGACAGAATAGATCTAGATAAGGTATGAATATCTACACTCAGCTGTTTCTTTATGGGAGGAATGAGTTTTAACAGATTTAAATAACATTTAAGGTTTTGAACTTCTGTATTATTTTACAAACAACATCTTGCCATATAAACGTGATTTCTGTCTTGTGAATTAGGGTATTATTATCCTGTACCAGAGACAGAACTTTTAGTATCTTTTTAATAAACTAATTTAATGACAGAATAGATCTAGATAAGGTATGAATATCTGTGGTCAGCTGTGGGTTTTTTTTTTTTTACGGGAGGAATGAGTTTTAACAGATTCAAATAATGTTTAAGGTTTTTGAGTACTGTATTATTTTCCAAACAACATCTTACCATATAAACATGGTTTCTGTCTTGTTTTGTTACAGATGTCCTTGCCAAACTCATCTCAAAAGCAGAACACAGGGAGATAATTCAATATCTGCCTTTCTCTCCCATCTCTAGATTATCAGCGGCTGATGACGGTGGCAGAGGGAATCACAACGCTGCTCTTCCCGTTCCAGTGGCAGCATGTCTATGTCCCCATCCTTCCTGCCTCTCTCCTGCATTTCCTGGATGCTCCTGTTCCCTACCTGATGGGGCTACAGTCCAAGGAGGGAACCGATCGCTCCAAGCTGGAGCTGCCTCAGGAGGTCAGTGTCCATATTTGGGGGCTGTCTTGAAATGTCTGACCAATAGGTGTGTGAATTACTGCTGGGAAACAATGCCTGCTGTTGGGAGGCTTCTCTGGCACTGTGGATACTGATTGCCAGCAGCAGTGGCCTAGTAGGGAGGTCTCCACTGCCCTTCTCGCTCCATTTCTGAATTTATGAGCACTACTTAATGTTTTGATTTCTAAATGCTTCTCTTTCTCCTGTTTGTGGTGACAAAGCTGAAATTTTGTCAGTTTTCCCTACATCATGTGCTCCACCAGGTTTTGTTACTCCATCAGTGTCACAGTCCTACTGACAGAGGGCTAAAGAGCATTTCATTGGGGGAGGATCTCGATGGGTCTGGATCTCAGGTGCAGTTGCTAGATGGTGTAAACCTGTCCCACAGCTGGTGAGGAGCTTCCCATGTCCTGCCAGTCCCATCCCATCCGTGTCTGAGCCCGTGTGTTCCTGTCTCTTACTAGACCAGAGTCCTGGCCTCAAACAAGCCAGGCTTGCATTAATACTGTGCCTGTGAACCACTTAGAGAGGAGAAAAAAAAAAAGGAAGGAGAGGTCATCCTCTTAATCTCAGGGTTAAATGGAGGTGATGGTGGAGAGTGAAATGGAGATTTTTCTCCTCAAAATTTGATGAAAGTGGTTAAAACTGCTTCACATTTTAAGCTGGCCATACAGCAGAGTCTTTGGGATATGGCTCACCTGTCTGCATTCCAGAGGGTGACTGGAACCAGAGCATGCCATGTGCTTTTAAACTTAGGTTTCTTCTTAAAATCAGTGGGAACCCCAAAAGTACCTGTTCATACTGGCAGTAATATCTCCTGCCAGTGGCTGTGCTGAGGGGACCCTCCTGGGGGCAGAGCCCTTAAGGATTCCAAATACCTGCTCTGATTGAGAAGGCAGATGGGAACAGCAGCAGAGGAGAATATACAGGAGTGGGAGTTTTTGTGTGGAAATGGAGAGATAAACACAGGGCAGGGGAAATAGAATTTTTAATAAAAGTCTATTTTACACACTGCATGAAGGTGGCTGAGTCAGCCTTGGTGGTATGGAACTGCAAATCAAGTTTTACCTCCTGGATACAGTGACTGAAGCACATGAAATCTGCGCTGGTGTGGAAGCAAGGCTGCTATCTAGCTATGCTCCCCAGTAAAACCATGCTAATATTACATAATTGCTGTGATTTTTTAAATTATTAGTCACATGCTTTTGGTTAGCAGATTAAGCTGTCATTTTCCTTAAATTAAAATTTTAATGTGACAGTATTTAGTATTGCAGTATCGTTGGAATAACAAATATCACCAGGGAGAGAAGATGAAGAGTGGGGTGGAATCTGCCCCCTCCGTGATGTTTAACAAATGAGTGAAAAATATCAGCATTTATGAATACCACAGGTCCAGTAACTGTGAGAGAGGGAAAGAAAGAAGACACATTGAACAGGAAAGATCTTGAATCTCAAATACCTTTAGACAATAAAAAATAAAAATACCCTCAGCGAGCAGTGATGAAGCGCTGTTCACATCAGCATTCCTTTATTGTTCAGGCCAGGGGCTAGCTTTTCAAGCTCTTGCTCTAAATATAAACCATTTGTTTGTTAGAGATAAAAATTCTAACAACTGGCCATTATGCTGTCTTAAGGTTACTAATCTCCCTGCATTAACTTTAATCATCAGATGTTTTTGAAGAGAGAAGTGAGACCAATTCCCCAAGGGTTTTCTGAGTCTAAATCTCATTTTTCAAATTTTGTAAATGATATGCAGAGCTGAAATTAAAAAGCCTTTGAAATGAAATATTGATAGATAAGAAGGCAGTCCCTGAGCTAAAGAACTGTACTGATGCATACCACAGCTGTGTAATAGCTATGTAGTTTAATCAAATTGTTTTGTGTGAAGAAATGCATTTGTTTGTACAGGCTAAATTTAATACAAAAAAGCTGAAGGGACACTTCTCCTTTACCAGGTGAATCCTAATATGTTTTAAAGTATCTGTGTGAAATGTGATTAATGTTAATAAACATGTCCCTGAAATATCCAATATATTATAAACATATTTGTTGTGGAATGTATTGTCTGGCTGAAAATTAACCTCTCAAAAATGAAGGAAAACAAATGATTTATCTTCACATAACCTGAAGATTAGTCTAGGGTGTTTGGTAAGAAGTAAAGAGCACTAAAAGTGCCTGAAAGAAGGCAGAGGAGCTGTGCTAATGGCCAAATCAGACTAACAAAGACCTGCTGCTGCCCTGTGGGTTTTCTGCGTCTCCTGTTCTGCAGTTTTATGCCAGGATAAAACACATCAGAGCTCAGCACCTTGGGAATCTGACCTGGTTTAAGATTTTACTCAGCACAGTGCACTCAGACAGCAAATTTTAGATGTAAGCCACCATTCAGAAGATCAATTACTGTTTTTCATTCCGCTGTTAGTCCTGAGGGTGCATTTGCAATGTAATTAATTTTTATGTGGGGTTCTTCTATCCCTCCATTGACACTTACCTAGTAAAAGTATCTGCTCTGCTAGATTAATGCCTTCACTTAACTTTAATCTTACAGGCTGAGATCCATCTCCATTCATGGCAAAGCCACGAGCACTCTCTTTAAATCTCAGGCAGAGGAATTGCCAGTGTTAAAAGCCTCCATGGAAACAGGGGGTCAGGGGAGTGGGGAGACAAGACAGCTTCTAGTGGACAAGCTGTACTCAGACATAATCCCGAAGGATTTCTGTGGGACCCTCTTTTGTAGTTTTGCTTCAAGCAGCATCATCTTTCTCACTGAACATCTCATTTCCTGGTAGCTCAGCTGCAGAGGCTTCTTGCAGTTGGGTCCTGGTAAAATAAATGTGCCTGTGAGATGCAGTAATTCACACAAAGGGTATTTGCATGGGCTGAGAAGTAGTGCTGCCCTTCCTGCTTGGTGGTGTGTCCCTGGCTGCTCTGGGAGGGTATATGAAATCTTTGTAGTGGAGAGTTTGGGGTCTGCATGTCCTAGGGAAACAAGAGAATGCAGGAGCCTTTATTTGTCATCCAGCTGACCCTCAGCTTTAGTGAAGTCAAGAAATGTCACAGGCTAGACAGCACAGCTAAAGTGTCCTGCATACGTGTGCAGGATACACATGCACCTTCCTTCTGTCTGGGAGAAAGGGCTACATTGCAGGGGAACCTGTTCAGTGCTGAATGTCCATTTTTAAACTTTTGTTTGTATTTCAGGCAAACTTGTGCTTTGTGGACATTGATAACCATTTTATCGAACTGCCAGAGGAATTCCCGCAGTTCCCCAACAAGCTGGAGTTTATCCAGGAAATCTCCGAGGTTCTCCTGCAGTTTGGAATCCCTCCAGAAGGCAACCTGCATTGCAGTGACAGTGCCACCAAACTCAAGAACTTGGTTCTTAGTGACCTGGTGAATGACAAGAAGAACGGGAACATCCCCAGCAATGCCCTCAACATGTACGAGCTGCTGAAAGGCAACGAGACCATCGCCCGCCTGCAGGCCCTGGCCAAGAGAACGGGCGTGACCATGGAGAAAATGACCATCAGCACCCCCCTCACAGAGGAGAAGGATGGGAAGCTGTCCGGTGAGGAGCTGGAGCTGAGGGACTACAAACTGAACGTGCAGCTCCGCGAGGTTTTCGCCAACCGCTTCACGCAGCTGTTCGCCGACTACGAGGCTTTCGTCATCCAGGCTGCCCCCGACATGGAGTCGTGGCTGACAAACAGGGAACAAATGCAAAACTTTGACAAAGTAAAGATAGCCATGTCTCCATCTAAAAGGGGGAGGGAGGATAGCTGTGTTTGTGTAAATATAGCCCAGGCTCTCTTTGGTCTGCCGTTCCTCATCTGCCTCCCTGCGAGATTTGTCCGTTTCCATTACACAGGGCCAGATCTCCTGCCAGAGTGAATTGGAGCGCATCCACTGAGCTGTTCAGAGCCATCCTGGCATGTACAAACCGAGCTGGCAGGCTTCTGCCCAGCTCATGGCGCTGCTCCTGTGGGCTTGGTGGAAGGGTAGCAATGCAAAGTGACTTCTTTTTCTCTCTTTCTTTCTTTTTTTTTGATTGTTGGGAGGAGAGGTGCACACTTGAGATAAAACCAAATCTAGTCTTTCATTTTTCCTAACCTCATGGTAGAGGTTTTGGTAATGGGTGATGTTGTTCTGAAAAAGGTTGTCACTTACAAAGTATTGTTATGACTCCATTGTCATTTATGCATAAGAGGGAAAAGGAATCCCTTGAGATTACAAATGGGGATATAAATAGATGAGGATAGCAAAAAGAATGGGAAATGTTGGGAAGCTTGCCCAGCTGCTGAGTGACCCTACAAAGCAGATAGTATTCTTAGCCATCATCTTTTTTAGGTCCAAGTCCTTCTCTAAGGAAAAGGTTAAGAGGATGAACAGTGAGGAACAGACTAAATACTGATCTGAGTCAGTTTTTGATTTACAAAAATTGCTGCCATGTCTTTTATTGGTTTGTTTGGTTTTGGCCATTAAGCAGTGCAGCATTCAAAAGGATGGGGTAGTTTAGGCAGTGTCTGCTAATGTTTCTGCAGTAAAATGGGCTGTAAAGTTTAGGGTTTTCAAAGCTCAGTTAGAGATTTAGGCACAGTCAATTGTAATTGGAAATTCGTGATTAATTGCCCTGTGTAACATCACTGAGGAGCATCAGCTGAAGAGCACTGTGCACCCCTTTATACATGTGACACCTCAAGTGATATGGTCCCAGGCAAGGATGCCCAGACCAGAGGTCCCACGGAGACACATGTGATGGTTTGCCATGCATTTCACAGGGTTTATTCCTGGGCGGGGAGGCTGCTAGGTTCTTTAAAAAAGCAGGCAGCATGAGCACTACTTTAGTAACTCGATATCCCTTTGTTCCAGCTGTCACAAAGCCTCCCTGAGTGCTTATTTCTTACAGTTGTGAACCAAACCCCTTTGCAGATGGGTTCATAGCTCTCTGAGAGGTATTTCTGCAGTGGGGAAAACCTTGTCCAAGCCTTCCTGCTGGCTGCTGGAGCAGTTCTCTGCTGAAGGATGGCTGGGCACATCAGTGCTGGGCATGAACGTGGCACTAATGAGCTGTTCTGTATTTCAGGCTTCCTTCCTTTCGGACCAACCCGAGCCTTACCTCCCATTCCTTTCACACTTCATTGAAACACAGATGTTTGCAACCTTCATAGACAATAAGATCATGTCCCAGTGGGAGGAGAAGGACCCTTTTCTGCGAGTTTTTGACTCCAGAATTGAGAAAATAAGGCTGTATAATGTCAGGGCCCCTGCACTGCGGACATCCAACTACCAGAAATGCAGCACTCTGAAAGAAGCAGGTATGTTCAAATAGGCTGGTAAAATAGTCACAAGTACAGTGTCAGCTACCAAGAAATATAGGTCCTCAGTCATCTGAGTGTTGCAGTTGAAGTCCTAGAGCTACCTGAGGAGGACTCAGCAGTGTCCTTATCTCATCTCAACAGCAACTTTAGCATGCTGTTAAACACCAGAAATGGCAGGAGCCTTTACCTTCTCTTTGAGCTCTCCTGGGCTGGTGCCTTTGATAAAATCAAGCCAAACCCAAATGGAACTGGTTCACAGTTTCTCATTTCAGGCAGCTCCTGTTCCTTTTCCAGGAGAGCTTTCCTTCACCCTGGTGGTGGGACCAGTGCCAGCCACACGGAAGAGTCAAGCCCTGGTGTCTGCTCCACTGGCTTTGTCCCCCCCTTCCATAAAAAGACATTGTTTTGCCTTACACCATTTGGTTAGAGCAGCAGGGGATGCTGGGTGGGGATGTAATCCTGTGTGGCATATTTAGTACCTCCAGCAATAGATGTTCAGTGTTAATGAACAATACACTGTACTGAAGGATTGGATTTTTTTTTCTGTTACTGTCACAGGATGCCTTTCCAAATTATGAATTTGAATTTCTTACTTAATACTTGTGCAAGTATTTATTTAATTTCTAAGTAATACAGGGAAATTATCCTCTTAAATTTGTTGGGACACATATTACTAAGATAGGGCAAACATCTTTTTTTCTTTTTTTTTTAAACTCCTTCGGTGTTTTACTTGCTACTTGCTGTAAACATGTCAGAAATAGAAATCTGTGTCTGTTTAAATTTTTCTGTCTAAACCCAATTCTAATTTGCAGGTCAGCTGTCTATTCAGCGTCTAGTTTTGGCAGATATTGTGGCACCAGAACCTCATATTCTGTCTTGTGAAAAGCAGCAAACTGATAGTAATATCAATTTTCCTTCATATTTACCATTCACAGTATATGTGACCCCAGCACTGATCCAGCACCTGTTTGTTTAACTATTTTTGGAACTCCTCAAATCCTCTGACCCCACACCACCCACTCCTTTTCTCCAAAATGGAACCATACAAAGTGATTTTTACTTTTTTTAGAGGGGAAAAATACTTGCTGAGTTTCTAATGATAATGTATGTAAATCTTGTGACAGCTTCTTTCCCATCACAGTTTTATAAAGCAGGAAATGAGTTATATGTTGTTCTTAACAAATGGAAAACAGATTTAGCTTCCCCGTTTTGCATATGTATTCTGTAGCTGTGATACACTGAAGGAACAGGCCTGCCCGTTAATAGATGGGCTGGAAAGAGTTGAATATTAAAGTTGCTAATTAAATGCTGAATTCACCCATACACCTCCTTTCCCAAGTTCTTCACAAGTTAAGAAGGTGACAGTTTAATTTTCATTCTGTTTGAGGTTTGAGATTGAAACCCTCAAATCCCTGAAGCAAAGGATTGAACTGCTTTAGTTTTAGTGGAGCTGAGATTCCTGGGGAGCCCTCTCTCATCTTACCATAGACTTCCCTATTGCCAAGAATCTGCTCATCCTCCTGATGCTGCTCAGGTCTTACTACAGTCAGCTATGCTTTTTGAAGGCCTGTCATCCAGTAAAGGCATATCTAAATTCAGGAAGAGGATATTTATAGTCCCAGATGTTTGCAAAACTCAGGTGTCCCCCCAAAAGCATCTGCCCAGGGAATGTGTCTGGGGCCAAGCAAGGTGCCCAGTCCCACAGGGGTCGCAGCTGGCCTTGGAGGTCTCTGCTCTGCTGAAGAAGCCTTAAAATCAAACAAGGAATTTCAAGGAAAGGTTGCATTGCTGTTATCAGTTCCTAATGCATCTCGTAGGCTCCTGTAAATACCTGCTTGCTTAACAGCTAACTTGCTTGCACCAGTGCTCATTGCGTTGGGTAAAGAAACTAAAAGCAGAATTAAAAACCCTACAGCACAAGTGTCTCCTCACCTCTGAGTGGCAGATTTGTGTCTAAGGTCACCATTTAACTCTCTAGTGGGTTTCCAGGGGTCTGAGTGTGACACAGTTGCTCACCTGTGACTGTCACCTGCAGCCCAGTCCATCGAGCAGCGGCTGATGAAGATTGACCACACGGCCATCCACCCCCACCTGCTCGACATGAAGATTGGCCAAGGGAAGTATGAGCAAGGATTTTTCCCAAAGCTGCAGTCAGATGTCTTGGCAACAGGACCCACCAATAACAAGTAAGTGCAGGTTTTATTTTCTGGATTTAAAAACAGGTTTCTCATACAAATGCTTCACATCATTGGACAGAAGTCCTAATTTTGGGTGGCATACAGCCAGTCTAATGAATGGAAAACTAACAGCTGTTTCCATTTCAGGTTTTTTTCAGCCCTTTTCATGGGTTGTGACTTTTGAAAATATGACCATAGTTTGGGTTATGTCAGGAAGTGTTAGCTGTTTTGGGGAAGATTCCTCACTGCTGTTTTCTATTGAGTAGTAACTACTCTGTCTTCTCATACATAGTTTTTGTTTTCTAATTGGTTTTTTGAGTTTCAAATGAATTGTTTGACTATTTTGCACTAAATACAGTAATTTGGGATCTCAAGGCAAAATTCAGATTCTGAAAGAAATTTTGATGTTGAAACCTTCACACCATGATGTGAAATGAAATTAGTGTCCACTCTCTTCCTTTCTTTTCTTTAGCAGTTATTACCCAACCCAGAGATTTTTGTAGCTCTCTTTCAGTTGCCACTTTGAAATACCCTGGAAGGATAACTTGGTGAGGGTGGAAAGTGTGTGACTCTGTACCTGGGTTTCTTTTTTGAGTCTGAAAAGGTTCTGTGGCCCACTTTGATAAGAGGGTAGTGGTACTTATAGCTGTGGAATTGAGCATGCCATTACATGGTTCATTTACCTAATGCAAAATGGGAACCTGGAGCACTGATACACTTTACAGTTATAATGCAAAGTAAGTGCTGTGAGTTCCTTTATTTTTAATCTTTCTTCATGCAAAACCCATGAATGAGGGGTTTCTCCCTCTTCAAAAGTGAAATATTTGTGCATCACTGATTACAAACTCATTAAATTATCAGCTGAAGCCCTCAGTTTCTGGGAGTCAAAATGTGGGAGCACGGGTAAATCCAAGAGCTTCAAAGGCTACAGTTGTCCAAATGTTAAAGCTACCTCTTGTTTTAGGCATGTGCATGCACACACGCTGCTCTGAGCTTCTGCATGGGGTGCCCACTCAGTTCTATTTAAACACCTTTTGTGCATACCAGTGCTAGCTAAACCCTTTTGAATAACCTGCTAGAAATAAAAATTGCAAATGATAATGAGATCCTTAAGCACTGAATGTTTAAAGAAATAGAGTTCTTTAAAAGAAATTTTAAAAACCCCAGAAGCAACCGCAGAGGAGGAATTCATATTTCGAAGTTCCTTTGGTTTCAGGCTTCTGCAAATGGAGACAGAATTGTATGGGTAATGGTCCTTTGAGGAATGGAGGATTTCTTCATCTTGTGAGATGCTGTATTTAGCAGTCTGGCTCTTATCCTTATAGGTGGGTTTCAATTTCACAGTGTCAGCAACAGTGTGAGTGTGCCTAGCTTGCTTCAAGTTTCTTAAATCTTCTGTGTCTATTGCGAAATCATAGTGAATCTATGAATAAGCATCACTTAAAAATAGTTTTCCTTATGCTCTTTGAGATTTGCTTCCATTAGATTGGTACCTGTTCTAAATTGACTTTAGCTCCTTGAGTGGTGATTTTGATTTAGATCACAGCATGTTTCAGAATTTCTAAGTTCCAAAATCCCGTTACTTACCACAAAGCGATGTCACAGTGACAAATGTTTGGAATTCCTCCAGTTGTATGTTGCCAAAAAGGCTTGTAATTGGAAAATCTCAAGACCATCTGTTTATATCTTTCTTCTGCCTAGTTTTCATGCGAGCAGCTGAGAAGACTCTTTCTCTGCCATTTAGGACATGTAATTCTGCTGATTTTACACCCATGTATAGAACAGCTTTTCCTTGCCTTCTGCCAAAGCAGTGTGACTCTTCTGACCACAAAATCAGCTGAAGTATAGCCTTCCATTAATTTGAATTTCCTAAGATTCTTGGAGATAGATCTAAGTTTTACTTACAGGACTGGAGCTTTGCCTATGAGCATGGGCTAAGAGAACATTCCAGCTACATTTCTAGACTCTTCAGGTGTAGCTATTGTGTGTTTATAATATAAAATTAATGCAAAGGATATTGCTGTGTGGATGAGAATTATTTTCGCAGGCTTCAGTTTTACTTAGCAAATTTTGTCCTGAATTTTGTATGGAAGTGTATTTGTGGGAAATGGGGAATAATTCCCATGTTGCAGTCAATTGTTGCTGGACAGCAGCAAATAAACCAATTCAAAGCTGTTTTAATGAAAAGATGTCCTTAGTGGCCAGCAATCAGGGATTTATTGCTTCCCTTTCTGGGCTGATAAACTAACAAATACATAACCAGAGCTCATAATGTTATCTAGCTGTTCCCTTCCTGTGAGCAGGAGGAGCACTGAAAATTCCTCAGTTACTGGGCTGTTACTTGTGTAATATATTATATCTAAATCACAAATATAATGCAGCAACAAACACTTCTAGTTTCAGTTCTAGATCCTATGTGTGATTTAAACAAATTTGACTAAACCCAAACCCAGTTCTGTCCTCCTTCCCATCAGGCAGCAGTGTCCCACTTGGACTCCCTCTGTGCTGTTTGCCTTTGATACATCTCCCACATCATGGGAAAACCTTCTGAATCTACAGGGAGCAGCTGCAGCTTCCTCTGGGTACAAAAGCATCCCCTCCTTGCTGCTTTAAGTGTGGAAAGCAGTGGCTTGTGCAAAGTTCTCCCAGGAAGCATCCCAGGAGCAAACAGGCTGCAGTCCCTCAGGGTTATTTCTCTGTTATTCTGGAAAAGAGCTGTAATTCCAGAGCCCTCATTTCCTTTCTCAAACCCCAGCACCACTCTGTGGTTTCTGTGTTCCCTTCTTCCCTCTGTGCATTTTCTGCCAGACTTTAAAATTGTAGCTGGAGCTCCACTGGCTGAGGCATTTGCAGGAGTGGAATTTGAATGACAAAAAGCCAAGCTACATAAACACTTCATGGTTTTTGATTAGCTAATTGTTAAATTAGGGGGAATATGCTTACAGTGCAAAATTAAAACAATGAAACAAGCTGTGTTTTCAATCTAATTGATTACCTTGTAACTTAATTTGTACTAAGAAGCTTGATAAATGAGATTAAATATTGCAGAGGAAAACAGTGATTCCCAAGCATGGGAATATATTTGCATTCTGGCAATTTGTATTGAATGCCTTCAAAGAACAACTGACTGCATTTTTTTTCCTTGCTTCTTTTGGTTTTCAAATGAAGGGTTTGCTTTGTTACACATTTACAAAATGGCTTTGATTACCATTTTTTTGCCTTCCTATCTGTTTAGGCCTGCTTCCCCTCCCACTTCTTTATTGGAGCCCTGCTTTCCTCCTTGCTGACTTTCCTGACCAGCTTGTTTCCTCTTTCCTGCCCTGGCCACTTCCATTTGTTCCTGAGCTGTGTTTTGCTGCTCTGTAAATAAATACTGACACCACTGTGTCAGTATTTATTTACAAAACCTATGCAGTAGGAGTGTATGGAATTGGAATTCATTTTTGTGCTCTGTTTTATGGCATGACTTGGTGAGCACTGTCCTGTGGCCTTCATCTTCAGCCCTCTCCTTCAAGGTGGGAGCTGTGCAGGGTTTATCTGCCTGGGGCTATGGTCCTCCTCATTTTTAAATAGGATTCTTTTTTGCTTGTTGCTGGCATTTAACATCAAGTAATGATATTGAGGGAAATATGGTGTATATATAACACAGAGGGGTTGATGTGTCTCTATGTGATGACAAAATTTGTTCTGGTTTTAACTAAATTATTTTTTGTATGCCAAATGGTCTTTTTCTTTTAATGAGTGCTTCATATTATATGGCCTTTTACTGCCCCCCTGTCTGTTGGGTACCGTTTTAAGGCTGTGTTAAATGAAGATATCTTCTTTTTTAATCAAGCCAAACAACTGCAAGTAATATAGAGTGGCATCTCTGCAGCACATCTAGGTGGGCGCAAAATGAGTCAGCAATGAGCCATCCACACACAGCACTGAGGTGATTTACATTTTGTGAGTAGTAAAAGTTCACCCTTTACATAAGAAGATCTGAAACAAGCAGTTACTATACTTCAGGTAACCTAATGTAGCAAACCACTGATAGGTGCAATGAAAATATGAACCACTTGTACTCCAATACATTCATTTTCAGAAATAAAGTGTGACTGACAATCTGTGCTTAAAGATGGTTTCTGAGATAGGAAATACACATTATGGTGACTTTGAACCTCATGGGTGAGTCTCCTGAGCTGCTGATCCTCTGCTCAACTTGTGCAAGGCAGGAAAAGTGCAATTAACTTCTTTGAGTTAATACTTCATTTTAACATAGCTGTGCAGAATTAAAGCTGACAGGGAAAAATGGGCATTGACATCCTTGCATCCACTATTCCATTTGCTCTCCTCTGAATAGTACTCCTGTCTCAAGGGACTTGCAAATTAAATACCTCATAGGACAGTGGTTCCTCAGGGCAGGTGATGCTGCCAATTCACTACAGCTCTTCCTTACAGAGGGTGACAGTTGTGTGTGCCACCCTTTAAAATCACTTCTTTTCATGTGAACTGCTGAAAGAACCTGTCAGTGCAAGGCCATTCTCTTTAAGGCATTTTACTAATTTTTGTCCATCCAATGAGCAGTTTCAGAGCTTTCCTACTTCACCCTATGGCAGAGATGGAAAAGGTGCCTAAATCTCCATCTAAGCTTTCATTCTCCTTACCATGGAGCAGAGTTTGTGGAGCAGTGGATCCCCATCCATGATCAGGTGGAGCTCAGTTTCAATGCCCCTTTTCTCGCTTGGTCTGACGTGTGTTTGGCTTGGAATCTCTGTACAGTCCCACACATGTGAGCCCTACAAGGAGTTGCATGTGCAGGCAGTGTGTGTCCGATGTGTGCATGTTTTAGGGAGCTTGCTGGGGCTGTGCTACAGCTGTGTGCTAATTTGTAAATCTGAAACTCAGATAAATCCTTTGATGGACCTGTATAGGTAGAGTGGGTATTGTCATGATTTGCAGGCCTAAATAGCAGCCTGCCTCATGAGATGGTGTATATGAGGAGATTCAGGTGCTGTCCCATAGACAAGTGCATTTCTCTCTTTCCTTCTCTCTGTTATCACTGTAAATGGATTGTAAATTACAATAGTGATTTTCATGGTGATGGTAATATTGGTTAAATCCATTTGAAGAAGAAGTTCTCTAGCAGCGTGTTCATCTTTTGCAGTATAAATCTTGCCTGCTACACCTATGTCTGATTTGGGAAGACATAATATCTTCATTTCTCCAGGGAGCTTTAAAAAGGGGGGGCAGGGAGAAAGTATGGGAAGAAAGCGTCTTGTACACATGGTCACAGTGCAGCATGGCCAGTCCCTGGTGTGAGGTGCTGTCCTGCTAGATGATTTCTGACAGTGCAACTTTGCTGCTGGCTGCCTTACCTCTTTTATTATAGAAATGTAAAAGATGATACTTAACAGGGGGTGTTTCAAATGTCACCATTACATTCCCACCAACCTTTATAAGCCTATGCTTGTTGGGTCTAATTTGATACTAAATGATGGTGACTTGACTGCTTTTATATCACAAAGGTCTTAGTTGCAGATGCTTTACTTCGTCTCTATATGTTGAACAGAGCACAGTGTTCCCTGGCCCTGCTCTGAAATATCCTGCTTTTCCACAGTCCCTGGAGGTGAGGAGCGTTCATCTGTGGATATGGGAGTTAGATACAGACAGACACACTGCAATGAGCCTTTCCTCATTTCTCCATGGAGGCAGCTTGTCCCTGGGCTCCCTGCAGCACCCGAGCTGTGTCTGCTCCATCCCCAGAGACCTGGTGCTTGTAGCAATGCCTCCACTGTGAGGAATAAATGAAACCTGCCAGTAGTCCATGCTCATGGCCCTGCCAGCAAAAAACTAAAAGGGAGAAGGTATTTTTGGGGTCAGGGAGTCCTCCAGGCTGAGCAGCAGGAGGGCTTCATCTCCTCAGGATGAGCAGAGGAGGGACACAGGCAGCAGGGGTTATCTGAAAAGCCCAAGTCTAAGGGAGATGGAGGGAGAACTGCTTTCTTTGCTGCTTTGGCTAGGCTGAGGTGTGAATAGAGCAGCAGCTGATGACAGGGCCAGCAGAGGCACCCACACAGGATTTCAGCATAGAGAGCTGGTGCTCTCCACTGGGCCTTTAATCCCCATTAAAATCACTTCAAGTGGTTGCAGGGAGAGGAAGAGCAATTTGAAATGCAGTCACTGCTGAGGAGAGGGAATGGTTATTGTAGTACTGAAGCATTGTTTTGGGAAAAAAAAATTCTATGTGACCCAGTAAAGAAAAGGCTTTAAAAGATTTAGCTGCTTAATCCTGTTTATCTGCTGTTAGATCTTCACAAAACCTCCCAGAGAGATTCAGAGCAGCATCTGAATGTGCAGACCTCACCCAGTAACTCAACAGCTCCTCTTCCTCAACTTAAGATTTGGAGAAGAGGGGACATGCGGCTCACTGTGTGTAATTGCTGCAGCTAATGAGCAGCAGTTTGTTTGTTTTTTTTTTCATAAACATCCAACAGTCTTCACTTTTGTATGATTAAAATGTTCAAATAGTTCTGGTTAATAACCTGGAAAATGGTCTGTGCTGTCTCCCAGATGAAGTACAGCTCTGGAATGAACTGAAAATGCTTTAATAGTGGCGTGTTATTTTGTAATTGTTTTGTGGCTTTCATTCTGCTTTCGCCTTTGGTGAGATATTTTCCCTCAAAGGACACTTACAGCAATTCTTTCATCTTCTAGTAAATGCAGAAATGCAGGTGGAGATGGATCCAAGCTCTGTCTGAAATTCAGAAAACAACCATATAAATTGGAGCAGAAAAACTATGATATGGGGTAATATTTGATCTATAACTTAAATTTCCAATGTGTTATTGGCATTCTGTTGCGTGAAACATAAACATGGTCCTGGGTTGCAATAAATGGAAGGTCTCCAGAGCCAAGTGGCTAAAGTCACATTAATATCCTCTGTTCAACAGAGTTTTTCTGTGACATTTCTGTCTATTAAAAAGTAAGGGTTTATTTTCCCCCTCTTTGTCATCTAACAAGGCTTTGGCTGTTGCTTCTGAAAAAAAAAATAAATGGTGACTTATTAAACTTGGTCTGTACATTTATAAAATGTCTGTGGAGGTGCAAAGACACTTTTGTCAGTGATGTGGTCCTCTGAGAAGGTATCAGCATTTGCTGTGCAGACACCTCTTAGGCTGTCTCATTTTGTTAGCAGAGACTTGAGGCCACAAAAAAAATTGCCTTAAAAATAAATGTGTTGTCATGTGGGATACTGAGGTGATGAACCATAATTACATACAGACCCAGATTTTCTTTCTTTGTACTTGTTTTCTTGATGTTATTTGTGAGGTACAGTGGGACTTCAGTTTGACTTTTCAAACAACAGTTCCTGTGGCTTGTTTTCCCTTTGTATCTGTGTGGTGAGCCAAAATTCAGTCTTTGGTTGACTCTCTTGAAGGAACTGATGAAGATAGCTGTGTACACCTTTGCAAAGTCCTTCTCTCTGGAAACAGAGGCCTTTTTTTGGTCACCAGGGGCCACATCCCTGCACTATTCTTGGGTCAGATGCCCCTCCCTGCACATCCCCAGTGTTTTGCCCAACTTGTCAGAACCCAAGTCCAGCTGTGTGCAAGAGTTTCTTCCCCAGGCATTCCTCTGCTGAAACTCTTTGCCCAAACTGTTAGATCCCACATTTTATTTGTATATACTTTTGTTTGGAGTGCACACAGAAATATGTGAGTTTGGGATCTGGAGACTGCTGTCCTCACTAATGCCACATGTGTGGAGAGAGGACAAGTTTCATCTTGGTGTATATGAACAGGTGGAAAAAACCCAAGGCTTTCTGTGGTACTTAGGAACTAAATGCAAAAAAAAAGTTAAGGTGAAAATAGCAGCATGACTAATCCCAGGAACATCAGTATTGTTTATAACCTTTAGACATAGGTGCAACCAATAACAGTTATTAAAATTGCAAAGAGAAGTTTGTCTCAAATAATTCCTGGAAATACCACAGAAAGTGGAGAAAGGAGAAGTAGCACTTCTCACAGAAAAGCAAAATCATAGAAATGCTACTCAAAATAAATCATTGTTTTGTTTTTTGCTAAAGGGGCTGTTCTTGTCAAACCTCATCAAATGCAGCTGTGGTGTTGGGTAACTAAGCACAGTGACTTGCCTAGGGATGGCATCAATGCTGTGGCATGACCTGCATTTCAGGTACCAGGAGCTGTCACTGGAGACCCTGACAGGCAGCTGGCCATGTTTCCATTGGGATATTTGTCCATTTGGTGAGTGCTGGTCTGTCACCTCCAGGTGGTTTCCCATGGGGAGGCCAGGCACCAGCTCACACTCCTGTTTACTGCCAGGTCCAAGCTTGGGCTTTCCCTTCTTTTGCTGCAGACCCACGGGATGTCCTTCAGCTCCTGACCCAGGTTTTCCCCCCTGCTTTCCTTCTCACTCGTGTCTCCCCTGTGTTTTGCAGCCGCTGGGCCAGCCGCAGCGCCAGCACGCAGCGCAGGAAGGACCGGCTGCGTCAGCACTCGGAGCACATCGCGCTGGACAACGACATGAGGGAGGTGGGTGGCCTCCTCTGGGGGCAGCACCAGCTGGGATCCTGGAGGTGGAGGCTTGGACAACAATGTGCCCATTCCTTGGGGCAGCTTTGTGGCTACTCTGTGGTTTGGTTGGGTCTCTGTAGCTGTTTGGATGCCGCTCTGCTTGTCACTGATGCCATACAACTTCAAAGCGCACAACATAAATAAAGTGCTTTTATTATTTTGGGACAAGACAGCCCCATTGGCACCAGGGAAATGATTTGCTCATTTAGACCCTGGCTGTGTTACTGCACACAGACAGGAGAGCCTGGCAGTGCAGCTGCCAAACTCTGGCCAGGGTGGAAGTCTCTGGAAAAGTCAAGTCCTTGAGTAAATGTCAGCCATGTAGAAGTGAATGAGGCAGGATTCTTCCCTTTTTTTTTTAAAGGAACTTTTTTTCCCTTCTTTTATGTAGATTTCTAACCTTTTACATATTTGAAAGGTTAAGACTTTGGGGCCTTTTTATGCCTAAAGCTTGGAAACTCCCATGCATCTTGTAAATGTCAGTCACATACATGTGTTTCTTTCCCATCTTTTCAGTTCTTCGTCTTTCATTAAATATTTTTCTGCCACATTTTTCCATTGATGTCCATATGCTTCTATTGTATGTCACTAGCAAAAATATAACACTCATGCTGTTTTGTGGTAAAATTCGCTCAGTAATGGTAGTCAGTGTTGGAGTTTGCTCTCCAAAAGAACCTGAGTAGATGAGAGGACTCTTCAACCATAGTTTTGAATGATGTTTCATGGAAACACAGCAAAACAGCACTTGTACCTGTTTGTTGCTATTTTTGCTAACATGGCTTTGCAAGTGTATTTTAAGCAGTGCCTTGTGCGCGTATATGGCAGCAGAGCCTTCTCAGTACTTTGTCATGTATTTACTTTCTTCTTTTTTTTTGGCTGTGGATCATGTGCATGCTTCTTTTGCTTTGTCTCTTCTTTCTGTTCTGCCATTGGGGCATCTGCCTCCTCTTAGCCCTCGGAGGAGCTTTTGCTTCGTCAGAACTCAATGGCCTTCTGGGAGTGGGATCAGGGACCACCCCCTCCTGCACGGCCTCCTAAAAAATCCTTCTCTGAATGCTGCCTGGTATGTTTTAGTTCTTCTTGTTGAAAGCTGCTTTTTGAGATGTTGTTAGCATGAGGAACCTCTGTCTTTGCTGCCTCCCAGATCTGCCCCTTTCTTGTAGAGTATGAGCACGTCCCTGTAGCGCTTGGAGGTGTGGTTATAGTCAGAAAAGTAGCTGGAAAGGAGCTTCCACACCAGCTCCCTGGAAACACAGTAGCTCCAAAGACTAATAAACAAGAATTTTAGTTTGCTTTGGGGTGTTTTTTCCCCCACGTTGATCACCTGGCAATTCAGTTTAGGGTGTCACATCCCAAAAGCATTGCTATATGGATGCTGGACCATTGCATCCCAGTGTGCAAGAATGTGGTGATGCATGGGTGCTGGAACAGGCAAAGGGCAATCAGCTGGTTCTCTCAGCCCACCCTTAGTCGTCTCTGGAACCTCAGAGTTTGCTGGGGTTTTTTTTGTTTTTGTTTTTTTAAAATATAATAACCTTATTCATTGTATAGCTTCTTATCTGTGTTTTGTACTCTTCAGACTATAACCACACTTTGTATCCCTTCACATTTAGAAAGAAATATTCATTTTTCTAGTTATGTATTCCCTGTATTACTTTTTGCTGATTTTGCTGTTAATTTTTGCACTGAGATGGAAGTCACTTGTGAGGTTGCTTGCTGAACAACATACTTTCATTGCCTGTAGCTTTTTTTTTTATTCCCTCCTGTAGTTTATGAACTATTACAAAATCCTTACAGTATTTTTGGACCTGTAGTTACCTAACTGAGAATTTCAGTGGAATACAGCTTTTTCATGGCAGAACCATACATTCTTGTCTGGCCTGTTAGGGTGGTGCTAAGTGGTTCTTGTTCAGATTTCTGTGTTCAGAAAATCCAATTGCATCAGAAAAACTCTATTCCTATTTAAATTAAAAAAAAAAAAAAAGGTGGGGGGAAGCCATTTGCTATTTCAATGTGTTAAGATTTTGGTTTTGCTTTTCCTGATCTGCTGGAAGGTGTCCATGCCCACAGCATGGAAAGTTTGGAACTATGTGATCTTTAAGGTCCCTTCCAATCCAAACCATTCTTTGTTTCTATGGAATAAATTTTCTGCCCAGACAGGAAGCTCCAAGGATGCAGCAGCCATAGTGACCTCTCAGTTCCCCAGAAAATCCAGCAGCAGCAGCAAGGATTCCCTGGAGGGATGTGATCTGCTCCTTCCAGGAAAGACTGGTCATTGTCACATACCATCTCCCAGAGAGGCGTCCTTAACAGGACACAAACCCACTGTGGAAACAGAGCATTCCCACACCAGGCTATGAGTGCAATGACAATATTCTGTTATCTTGCTCTTTTTAAGACAAAATTACAAATAATGCTCAAACAACATTTTGATAGTTGTGGCCAACTCCTCAGCCTTGCTCAGCATGTAGCTGTCTCACTGATGCTGGGGTCAGAAGTCACGTGTTGATGGGCTTGTGGATTTTGGCTTAAAAAAAAAACAAACAAACAAAAAACACCCCCAAAAAACCAGACCAAAGCAAAAAATACCCTATCTCTGAACCCTGAAGACAAGGCAGTGAGTGGAACAGAAAAATTTGAATGTCTTCAATTATAGCTTCGATCTTTTTTTAAAGAGTATGCTGATTTTTGTCCATACTTTACAATTACAATAGTAAGAACATGAATGATCCCAAGTGTCAATTCTGTTTAAAATGAGCTTCACTTGTAATCAAGAAGTTAATTGAGAATAAGATCAAGTCTCATTTTTCCTGCATAAACCATCTAGATGAAAAGTAATGGATGAAATCTTTCTCATTCCCTAAGTGTGTTTCTGCTTCTTATAATTTATTTTCAGGTGGTTTTTTTTCTATTCATATATAGTCAGGTCACAAATGAGACAATTTTAGGGGTTTTTTTAATGAGAAATAACAGTGGAAAGAAACTTTCTTGATATTTTGGCCTTATTGCTGAATGAAGGTATTACACTTTATGCACTTGTACCTAACCTCATGCTAGTGACTAACAGCACAGTTCACTGGCTAATATTGGCTGATTCTGTGCCAATCCAAGGAAATATCTTGTTTTTTCTGTTGTCAAAAGGGATCATTTCACTTCTCCAGCCTGACACCTAAACATCAGACAAATTAAGATTGTGTTTCTAGATTAACACTAGTTCATTTCTTTTCATCACCTTGCTTGCCTAGGATGAGGAGAGTCACTCTGACCTGTAATATCTAAAATTATTCTCTTTATTTTTAGAAATACATGCAGGAGGCAAGGAGTTTAGGTAAAAATTTAAGGCAGCCCAAACTCTCAGACCTCTCTCCAGCTGTGATTGCACAGACCAACTGGAAATTTGTGGAAGGGTTGCTGAAGGAATGTCGCATGAAGGTAGGTCATCCCCTGGATTGCAGTGAGCTCAAAGAGCACCTGCAGCTGTTCTCCTGGTGTACAGCTGGAATGACATGGTTCTTTTGGAACACCTGGTTGTTGCAGGATGGATAGCCCTGTAGAGTTTTTCAACATCTGTAAGAGAAGGGAATATGTTTTGAAAGGAACGTGTTTTCATTTCTCTTTTTTGTTTATGCAGTTGAAGTTGATGGAAGTAGAAAGGACAGGAAGGAGAATCAGCATGATCAGACATCTTCTGGAGGATTTCCTTTAATTGTTCATATTTACATGTAGCCTAAACAGAATGGCCTGGAGACCTGTGGTCAAAAGGGAAGAATTCAGCATGAGTGGCTTGTGCATGTTGTTCATGCAGAGCAAGTGAAGTATAACAGTTCCTGGTGTTAAAGATGATTTCATAGCCATGGACATAAAACTTCTTTGTGTCTGTTGCAGTTGATAATATACTCCTTTACCTGAGTGTTAAACTTTATTAGCTGTGACAAGAATTAAAATGGAAGCTAAGTAAGACTGAGCATGTGTTCTGTACTCTGCTTGGTAATAAATCACCAGCACAGAAATAGGACAATAGGTAAAGGGTATAGAAGTAGGACAGCTGGAACAGGCTCCCCAGGGATGTAGTCACAGCACCAAGTCTGCCAGAGCTCAAGAAGTGTTTGGACAATACTCTCATACGTGCTGTGACTCTTGGGGCTGTCCTGTGCAGGCACAGGAGCTGGACATGGTCTTTCTGGATCCCTCCCAACTCAGGGTATTCTGTGATTCAAAGTAATTAAGTACATTTTTAAAATATAATTATTTTTGTGAATTTACAGTCTCTGCAAATAAATTTGAAGTTTTTCTCTATTAGCCATTATCTCTAGATTAAGCATGTCTAAGTAAACTCATCTGTAAATTCTGTTCCTTGTTGGATAACATTCTTAGAAACTGTTGGGTTTTTTTTTTTTTGATAGACTAAACGCATGTTGGTAGAGAAAATGGGCCATGAAGCAGTTGAGCTGGGACATGGAGAAGCCAACATAACAGGTCTGGAGGAAAATACACTGATTGCCAGTCTCTGTGATCTGCTGGAAAGAATCTGGAGCCATGGTCTGCAGGTCAAGCAGGTTGGTAAATACTGAATGTCATCTCTGCATTCTACACTGCTACTCAATGGTATAAACCCAAAATAAAGCAGGAGATGTCTTTGGGATCAGTGTCCCTGGTTCATATTTTGCAAAGATTTGATATGTTTGGGTTTTTTGAGGGGGGATTGGTTTGGGGTTTTCTCCTCTGGACATTGCAGTGATGTTGTCAAGTACGTGTTTGGTTTGTTCCCTTTCAACCTTCACAAAGGAAACGCAGGGGGAGGAAAAGAAACAGGGTGGGTGATGTGACTGCTGAATCAGTGGGGGGTGGTGGTCCTCTCTTCCTGAGGTTTCATGGCCCAAGAGAGAAGGATTGGCTTCCATTAATGAACATTTTGCCCATTCAAATGCTGTTCCGTTATTCTGCCATGTTTATTGGCCATTACTGGTTATTTTTTTGCCTATATATATTTTTTTAAAACTTATTTTCAGGGGAAATCTGCATTGTGGTCCCATTTGCTTCAGTACCAGGAGAGAGAAGAGAAGCAAGAGCACAGTGCAGAGTCCCCAGGTGAGTACTTGGCAGGTGACTCCACGAGGAGTCCATCACAGCAAATGAACCCATGGTAGGAACAGTACAACCACATGAAACCTGTGCAGGGTTTTCAGTGTATTTGCTTGCTAATACCATATTTACCTCTTGAGACTTCTCATAATCATTGTGGGGGTGTCTTGATATCTGGACAAAATGGATTGAAATCACTGGAGGCCAAGGCACATATTTTCCATCCTTGTCTGGAAAATCACTTGATGTATGTGCACTACCTTCATTCCCTTTTAATGAGCATTGAGTGAGGTATGAGAAGCAGTGTCTCCATGAGAAATAATTTCTGAATAAGCTGAAAGTGTGGAGCTGGGCATAAGAGAGCTGACATTTTTCTTTCAGTGAGCATAATCTGTCTCTCAAATCCCAATATGAATAACTCTATGTTCAGTAAATCTCTATACTGATGGGTGGTACAGTTCAGAAATTGTGTAATGGATCCATCAGTCTAGGTGCTCAATTTATGCTTTGGCTGGGGCCCCTACAATCACTAAATTACTTCTGTGTTTAAAGAGAGGTTTTCTAAAAACCTTGAGATGGGGTATTTTAGTAAAAGTCTCTGAACTTCAGTGGGTCATCTTGCAAGGACTCTCCAATTCAGATCCTGCAGATGGAAACTTTTATGATCAGTCCTCAAAGAGGCATTTATGGACGAACTAGTCTCTCCCATGAAAGAACTTTTTAATAAGCTTCAATGAGTAATGCACTAAACAATCTGGCTGGCAGGCACAAATTCCTGAGAGCAAAATGTGTCACCACAAAGTGGTTTGATCAGAGCAGAGAACTGAAATGCACAGCATTCTTTGCATTGAATGTGTTACTGTAGCTTAATTTTATTTGAGTTGTTCTCAGTTGTGAGCTTTCCATAGAAATTTCTCACTAATAAAACTCACTGCTGTACAGATTTAACCTAAGGTATTTCGCACACAAAAAAAAGAAGCTAGATCTCCCAAGTTCAGTGCTGGGTTAAGGAAAGAATAGGTAATATATTCAGAATTTTCATTTTGTCTACTTCTGCATTTCCAGGATAGAGTTAATTACAATGCACAGAAACAGTGCAGTTACCAGCCACTTAAGATTTGTTTTCAGCTGTATGTAGAACAAATGCATTGCAGACTATTACTGTAGTGTGTTAACTATGTGTATTTTCTCCACTGTAGTTGGTGGTGGAACAGAAAGGCGAAAGTCTGATACAGGAATTACTCTGCCTACATTGAGGGTTTCCCTGATACAAGACATGAGGTATGCAATTCGGTTCCTAAAGCATGAATTGTGGATTTAATTGTGTAGCATAAGGTAAACATCCTCACTGGGTTTGGGTCTACAAAGGCTAAGGAGAATTAAACCTTTTCTTCAGCCCACATTCAAATCTACCATGTGTTGCCTTTCTATTTTGAAAAACTTTTTTGTGTGTTCACTTGATCTTTTTAGTGAACAGAGAATGAAAACCACACATATGTTACTGCAATTTCTGTTTTCCCAGGGGGTTCTTCCAGTAACAAAGCCAGCTTCTACAAATAACAGCAAATAAGTTAAATTCCTTGGTATTTTCAGTTTGTTTCTTTCAGTTCATTTTTTAATTACTGACCCAGCAAGTACAGTTGATAGGCAAAGCAAAGGGACATAAAACCTGCTCACAATGCCTGAGCAATATTCTTTCTTTCCAACTAGCATTTCATGAGAGAAAGTAATAAATGTGCAAGTTGAGAAATTTAATCAGACCTAGAATTTGGGTGAGTTTAAAGCTGGGATGTGAAGTTAGGGCAGGTTCTCTCCAGTGGACTACAGCCTGGCTCTGGAGACCTTTTCAAGCAGTGTTTATTTGGAAGCAGAAGGATTAGAGGGTCAGAGGAGGTGGAGGCTGGTGTGACACCAGCAGGCGGAAGTTCTTCAGGGCATCTCCTTGATTAAGCCACTGCCAGGTCAGGCCACTGTTTTGACACTTGTCTTGCCAGGGCTAAGGATTGCAGTGGGATAAACATGCTGTGAAAAGGGAGGAGGAGTAATGCAACAATGCTTATCTGTAAAGAGCAATTAAACATGTAAGATAACATGAGTACTGCTTCTTATGTTCTTCTTACACCTAAAAATATGGCAAAAGAACCTTAGGGTAAAAAATACGATTTATTGTAGTTTGCTCACAAAACCCTGATTACAGTGATGTGATTTTACTATGTGGGTTGATAGATTAGTCAGATTTTTCTGGGGAAAAAAATATCACTGTACTCCCCACCTGCATTGTGGAACCTTTTAGTTTGATGCTTTGTAGTTTGAGTCTTTTGTTCTGATTTCAAAGAGCATGACATGCCATGTACTGCTAAAACAACATGTAAAAGAGGGAGAGAGAGAATACATAGAGTGTAGTGCCAAGAGGTCATTCTGAACATGTGTCTGCCATTTTAGCATCCCTCTCATGGGATGTGGCAGCTCTCTCCTTAATTCAGTCCTGGGAGACTGACAGGCATGTAAGGGTCAGTCTGAAGGAAGGATGAAGGAGGATCTGGAGCGGAAACTCCTGTGCTGGGGGGGTGGCTGACAGAGGGGGCTGTGTGTGCTCACTGCTGCCTGCATGGGTCTGTCTTCCACTGGAGTAATGAAAGCCCAGCATGGAGCTGAGCTCTCTTGTTTGAATCACAGAAGTCTTTCTTACTTCTCTTCAGAGGAAAAGTACAGAAGCAGAACATTACCTTTTGTAATATCTTGGGTATTTGTGATTGCCCATGAATATGTTTGCTCATAGGAAAATGCTGGGCAGATGGTGAATTGAATTTGTCATCTGTAATCTCGAGGCGTGCTTTCTCCTGCTTGGAAGGAATGCTGCCTAATATTTGTTTGCACACCAGGCTGAAGTTGAAGGATGGGTAATGGTTAAATTGCAGGGCTTGTGGTGTTGACTGAACTAATGGCTGGAGGATTAAGCATTGCCTTAAGCAGGGCTTGTTTCTGATGGCTCATGCAAGGTTATGTAAACAACTTAAAAGCAGGGCTGAGTCACAGTCATGCTCTGAGTGTGCCATGTGCCACAGGTACCGTGGTGTGTCCTCTACCTCCCCTCCAAAAGTCAGGCATCTCAAATGTCGTCAAGAAGATGCTCAGGGTGTTTATTTTTGTTCTGTGCGTGGAATCCCAGTGGCACAAGCCAGCCTGGGGATTCTTCCTCCAGCCTTTCCCCTGGCACACTCTGCCCCATCTCTCTAGCCCCTCTTCCAGCTACAGCCTGCTTCCAGCATGGCATTGCTGAGCATCCAACCAAGCCAATCAACATCAGGGCCTCCCCAAAACCTTTGGTCCAGCTGGATTCAAGTTTCTGCTCCTTCCCCTTTGGGCAAGCTCTTCCTTGCTATCAGCACTTCCTTCAAGCCCATGTCGTGCCTCCCGCCTCAGAGAGCTTGCACTGGAGGGTGTGAGCTGGCCCCTGGCCCCACAGCAGTGATGCTTAGCCTGCTGTGCTCAAAAAGAAGGCTGAGCAAAGCCCTGCTGCCTGCCTGGGGTGAGCTATAGGCTCCTTCCTGACTGTGCTGCCATGGGAGCAGGCACAGCATCCCCGGGGCACGGCGGTGCTGGGCAGCTCTAACCTCTGCTGTCAGCACAGCTGTTTGCACAGGGTTTGTTCACCAGACCCCAGGCTTACATTTGACAGGGCAAATAGATTTTTCTTTATTACTAATGGGATTAAAAGCAAGTCCAAACCAGGGGAGTTGCATCGAAATGGCTGCTCAGTGCTATGACAAGAAGAATTTGCTGTGCAATGCTGAGCATACGGTGCTTACACTTAGGTCACTGATAAAAATAGAGCTGTTCTGACTCTCACAACTGACAGTGAAATAAATTTGGGTTCCTGCATGCTCTGTTCTGTTACACTCTGCTTTTGTTGACACCAAGACTGATTACTGAATCTTTTTAATATCTCTGGCAAGCTGCATGCTTGCAGATATTTATTTTTTTTCCCAAATGCACAATTAACGCTTATCTAGTCTGAGCCAGACACAGGTAATGAAGAGGCGCAGAGTGTGCATGGAATAAGGTTGAGTCCATCTGCACTTGAATCTTCTCCCAGTGAAATAACATATTCTGCTCAGTGTTTCATATTAGATGTAATTCAAGCTGAGCACTCAGGGGAAGGGGAGGGAGACGATAGTCTGTGCTTTGATCTTCCCATCTCAAAAGGCTTGAAATGTCTGAGGAGAGCGTCTCAACATGATGTAGTTGATTGTAGCATGCATCCTGTTTCTCAAGGACTGCAGGGGTCACGTGTCCAGCTCTCTGCTGGAAAGTCTAATGCTGGCTGCCGTGCTCTGAGCCAGGAAGGGCTTTCCCCTGCCAGGAGCAAGGCTTCAGCCTGCAGGTCAGCCTGGCACAGAGCAGGGCTCCTGGGCTCTGCATGCTCTTCATTTGTGCAGAGAAAGCTCCTATTTCTGGACAGCTCCAAGTTGTTCTTTGCAAATTTGCCCTAAAGGTCCTGGGCTTGCTCTGTTAGAGGCTCTCTAAACAAGAGAGTAGTTTTCTCAAATAATGCAGGGACTAAATATAACACAAAGCACACACTTGGGTGTAACAGATGGGGGAAAGCACGAGACTATAGTAGTCAATGTAAAAAGCATCAGTCACAGCATGACTTTGTTGGATTTCCTTTGGAGTAAATATTGCCACATTCCACAACACTCAGCAATGCGTGGAGGGCTGTCAAGGAAGTTGCAGGAGTTGGACAGTAAATTGCAGCTGGGATTAGCTCAGACTTCAGCTGATGGTACTTGGAGCCTGCCATGGAGATTTGGAGGGCTGAACTGCCCGTGCACTTAAATGCAGATTTTATGAGAATTAAGAAATTTGAGCCTTTTCTTTCTCCTGCTGAAAACTGTTACTAATTTTTCTTGGTTTTTATTTAAGCAAGTGGGGAGTTTTTGGAAGCAACTTTGTCCTGCCGTGGCAGTTCTCTTCCTCTTCTAAAACTCCCTGTGCTCTAAAGCTAGAGTTTTTGGCATTCTCCAAAAAGAAAAAAGTATAACTGTAGAAGAAATCCCCTATGGAACAGTTCTGCTTTCCTACAGATAAAACATATGGAGGGCTGTTCAAATTATCACTTACAGGAAGGCTTCTTCTATCCCTAAAAATATGACTCTGCTTGCAGCTTCCTGCTGCTGTTTTTGCCTCAGCAGTCCTCCTTTTCTCAGCTGTGCCATTGCTGCTGCTCTCAAGGGGCTTTGTTAGAGCCTGCAGAGCAACTGTGGCTTGGAGAAACTCTCAGGACTTTGTCCTCTGCCCTCCCAGACACACCTCAAGTCAGCAGCTTGAGGTGTAACTGAGGTTTAACTGGGTCTCACAAGGTGCCACTTGTTTTTAAACAACCCACTGCTGTTTTTAAGTCCTAGCAGTGTCCATTAAAGCATCTACCTTTGGCAATGAAGGGATAAGCAGATTTACCCCTCCTCACATTGGCCAGGCAGCCACAGAGCAGCTCCTATGGGCTGTCATGCCCAGAAAAAGCTGCCACATGTCCTGGTGCCAGCCTGGGATCTCGTTGCCACAGTGCAGGGTTCTGGGGGCCCTGCTGGGGATCTCTCCAGAAATCATGTCAGAAGACATTTTCCAGTTCACTGCTGCATCATCACACTGCATGTTGCCATTTGAAGCATGCAGAATTTTTATGATTCATCTATTTCTTTTTTCCACACACATTTCAGACACGTTCAGAACATGAGTGAGATAAAGACGGATGTGGGGCGAGCCCGAGCCTGGATTAGACTTTCTCTGGAGAAGAAGCTTTTGTCTCAGCACCTGAAGCAGCTGCTTTCCAACCAGGCACTTGCAAAGTAAGCCAGCTCTTTTCTTCAAACCTTCATTTCATGTTGTGAAGGTGGTGCTGCTTGGGGTACAGCCAGGCACCCTGTTTGGGTACTGTGGTTTCCAGCTAGAAGTGACTGAAGGGCAGGGGGGAGCTGGGAGAGGTGGAACTGCCCACTCAGCAGGGCAAAATCTGCTCATCTGCATGGAAAGCACATAACAGATTTCAGGAAGGAGGCATTAGTTCTTGGTGAGATCCCTGCACTGCTCCAAGCCACACTGCAGCCCTACAGATCTTGAGCTGACAGGGTGGTGGGAGGGCCCCAGCTGCTGCTTGGTGCATCCTGCTGGGTTTGCTGTCACAGTGGGGAGCAGAAGGAAGATGTGGTTATTAGATGAGACCATTCCACAGTGGGAAGGTGTGGGGAAGAAAAGAGGTTGCTGTGTGTTGGCTCAGATCTGCTTCTGTGAGTAGTGTTAGTTTTTACCTGTGCTTTGCAGCAAACCCCAAACTGAGATGAACTCAGCAGCCTTGCTGTGGGAGTGCTCTGTAAAATATCTGTAGCATGTTTACACATCCTCTGTGGGTTTCTAGCAGCTTCTGTTGTTGGGGGGGTCATACCTCTCATTAAGAGCCACTCTTCATTTGGTGTTTTGAGATTCAAACACCTTTTAAGATACTTGGTGCTCTTTCAACAGCAACAACACAAATGCCATGTGCTTGTTTCTCCCAGGAAGCTTTACAAGCGTTACGCTTTCCTGCGCTGTGAGGAAGAACGGGAACAGTTTCTGTATCACCTGCTCTCACTCAATGCTGTGGATTATTTCTGCTTCACAAGTGTCTTCACCACAATCAGTGAGTTGGAGAATCAATTTTTTTCCCCCTGACTAAAAAATTAGTTGCTGTCATGGTTTGTAAGAGATGATGTGGCTGGGGCTTGAGTAGCTGAGCCCTTATCTGTGAGCCTTGGTTGTTGCTGCGGGGTTCCTGGGTGCTGGGTGTTGCTCTGGGAAACCTGCTGGAGAGCCAAGGTTGTGTGGGAGTTCTCTGGATAAGAGCACTGCACAAAGGAGAGCAATCAGCAGGGAGTGCTGCTCTCTGTGTAGTTTCTTTCAGCTTCCCTACCAGACAAGTCCTCTACCTCCTAATGCTTCTTTCTGGCCTTCATTAAGTGTGCATAGCAGTCTGCTCTCCTCAGACTGAAGAGGAGATGCAAGATTAGAGGATGAAATACTTTGTGCTGCTCTTTGTATCTTAAGTCTCTTTTTGTCTCTTCTTAAATGCCAGAAAGATTCCCTTTCTCACTCTCTCTTGTAAGGAGAAGAGCAGAGATTGGATTGATATCTGGAAATGAATCTTTGTCTCTCCAGTACAGGACAATGCAGAAAAAGCAAGATCCCATTAGGTGACCTAATTATTTGGATTCACCTGGGCAGCCATTATTTTTAATTTTCCTGCCTGTTCAGAGTGAACTGAAGCAAGTTTTACATGGCTGTCAAAACAGGCACTCATTCTACTTTTTCCCCTCTAAAAGCAATAAATCCCTCAGAACTACCGCAGCACAAAGAGATTTATTCATCCTTGATTACCTTATTTCTGTGGGGCATGCAGCTTAACAGCTTTCATCTGTAGGACAAGTGCTTGGAATCTGAGGGTATTTTTTGAGTGCAGGATGATTGGCTGGCACACAAAAGTAAAAGAGGCTGGCTTGGCTTCCCCAGTCCAAAAGGCAGCTTGTGAAACATATGGGGAGAGTGGATCTTATAGTGCTGGAGCCAAATCCAAATTGGGATGGGTGGCAGTCCTTGTCTTCAGCATGTATGGGTGGCACAGGTTGAAAAGCAGAAGAGTAAGGGATTAAGAGCAGGAATAAGGATAAAGAGGGGGATGTCCACAGAGACACACCAGACCTGAGAGTCTGGCTGTGGTGTGTCAGCACTACTTGAAGGGGGCCCGTACCAAAGATGGGAGCAAACTTTTTTGTCATTTACCTGTTGCAGTAGGATAAGGGGTGATGCTTTTAAACCAAAAGGGGGGTCAGTTTAGATTAGGTACAAGGAAGAAGGTTTTTTTCACATTTTGGGTAGTGAGATCTGACACAGGGGATGGGATGCCCCATCCCTGGGAGTGCTCAAGGTCAGCTTGGACGGGGCTGCGAGCAGTCTGCTCCCTGCAGGGGGCTGGACTAGATGGCTTCTAGAGGTCCCTTCCCAGCCAGGCTGTTGGAGGGCTGTGACCCCCCTTCCCTCCCTGCCGCATCCTCCGGCGGCGGCTCCGTCCCGCCCGTGCGGTGCCGGCTCCGCCGCGGGGCTGCAGCTCCACCGTGCGGCGCCGCCGCCCTTCACGGGAGGGGTCCCCTCCGCCTCCGAGACCGGCAACCAGAGCTTGCCTTCAAGGGAAAGGCGTGGTTGGTTTGCCCCAGAAATTGCGGTTACTGTAAGGAAAAAAAATAAAAGAAGGCTAACGTGCTTCCCACTCTGCCTGTTCGCAGTGATCCCTTACAGGTCAGTGATAATTCCCATCAAAAAACTAAGCAATGCAATAACCACATCAAACCCGTGGATATGTGTGTCAGGAGAGCTGGGAGATAGTGGTGTCATGCAGATTCCTAAAAACCACCTAGAAATGACGTTTGAGGTGAGTACGTGCTTTTCACAATTTCCTTACAGTTTGAAATGTGCTTCCAAATAAATATGAATTTGTTAAGGGGTTTTTGAGAGCACAGCATTTCAGATTCTGTCCTGATTTTCAGCATCACTGTAGGTTCAAATATGTACAGGAAAATAGCATGCTCTTCTTGTGTGAGATGAAGGTTTCCTGTGAGCACACACCACTTTTAACCACAGGCCTTGCTGCTGTCCCTGTCCAGCCCAGAATTCCTCACCTTGCCTATTTATTTCCACATCTCATTCCCTTCCACACCTCCTTGCCTAACTGTCCCTTTCAGTGCTTATTTCCACCTCCTCATCTCCCTTCCAAGTTTCTTTTCCCTTCTTTCACTCTCTCTTTCCACTAACCACCACCCAGGTCCCTTTTGACCTCTGGCCAGTCCCAAATTTCTTCTGACCCATTGTCTGGCATTGCTCTTCAACACCCCAGCCTCAGGTGCTGTCTGTGGCACACCAGGAGCTGCCATCCCCACTGGGCTCTCTCCCCTGGGCTTGCTGGGGTTTTTTCTCTTTGCTTTCCCCTCTGCTTTCCCACCCAGCAATTTTAGACTGGCTCGGTGCCATGCCAAAGCAGCTGGTAGCAGGAATTGCAGGGAAAGCCCCATCAAGCTCCTCTAGCTCCAGGCTGTACCATATCCATTAAGGAGTCATTTTGTAGGAAAATCTGCTACTGAAATTCAGGTTGCATCCACTGAGCATATGCAGACTGATCTTCAACAAAAATAGCAAAAAAAGACTCTTGCCCAATACAAGTTGATTTTGACAAAGAGAGGATATTTTTGAGATAAATGCCCACATCTCAATGAGATATTACTGTTTTGTAGAAAAGATCTCCAGGCTTCTAACTGGCAAAATGACATATTTAGCTATTTCTAAGGACCATATTGATTCTGTTCTGGATTATTCCTTTGGCTGAAGCTTTTCTAAAATATCAACTTGGGCAGCCACCCACTTTTAGAAAATGTCAGCCCAAGCTGCTTTTTTGGCAGCATCAGAAGCAGTGAAAACCAAGGTATTTCAAGGGAAGTGTTAAGGTGACATTAACAGATGTTGTTGCCAGCCCCACCTACAATCACATCTTGCTCTGGAATTCACAGTGCCTTGTTTTCCTTCTTCTGTGTGTTTGTGATGCTGAGTCTCATGTTAGTGGTTTTTGTTTGGGCCAACAATAAGCAAATCAGTCTTAGAAAATAATGAAGGATCTAGGGACTGCTGCATAGTGTGGAGTGAGTCAGCTGAAGGTCAGTATGCCCCAAAAGGATTTTTGAAAAGCTGTTTGTATTAAAGATCTATTTCTTCTGCAAAAGCACACCTTTTTATCACCTTACTCAGAAATGTGTAATTAATACTTCTCAGAAATATTCAGAGTGAGTGCTCCCAACAAAGAATATAATCTCTCCACAAGCTTTTAACAGTTTTATTTCTTTTCTTTTGTCTTAAAATAATTATGCTGCTTTTGCAAATAGGCTGCATATTTGGTTGTTCTATAAATCACAGAGAACTAGAAAACTGAATAAAAGCCTATATTTGACCATATGCCTGCATGTGGTGGGGGTGTGTGTTGTCTGTTCTTTTTGAAATGAAGCAAAAACTGTTACTCATTTCAGTGCCAGAACTTGGGGAAGCTGACGACCGTTCAGATTGGTCATGACAACTCAGGGCTGCTGGCCAAGTGGCTGGTTGATTGTGTCATGGTCAGGAATGAAATAACAGGACACACGTACAAGTAAGCAACAAGTTGTCATTTTCCTTGTCTGAAATTCTTTATTTAAAGAAATTCTTGATTTAGAGAAAGCAAGAAGCCATTCACCTTCTCCTTAACTCTGATTGCAGCTGGTTTGAGTCCCTGATAGGGTTGGGTTGGTTTCCCCCACCACCCTGATTCTCTCATTTCAGTAGCCCTAGTTGAAGTCTGATAAATATTTAATGAGATTTGAATGCAGGATTTTTTTTTCATCTTTCTGAGACAGGACAGACAGTATGGATACTTTTGAAGTGATTGGTATGATTACGTCTAGTAATTAGATCTCTTGATATGAAGTAGTGGGGTAAAGTTGGGCACAAATTGACTCTTGAAACTCCAAGACCTGAAATTACGTTCTGGGTGAAATACTAAGAAAATAAAAAGTTTTGATGATTTCTTAATCTTACATTGAGCACATACCTCTGTGTCAAAATGGTCTCCTAATTCATCATTGGTTTTACAAAATGTGGCTAAGCAGACACAGGTTTTTTTTAAAATGTGAATTTGGAAAACTGCAATTCAGAAAGGGGAGCTCCAGATCTTGGCCACAGTGTATAGGGGAAAAGTAGGAAAACATGGGATAAAATGACTGGGTATGGACATGTGCATGGGGTTGTGCATTAGGGTTGTGTATGGGGTCCAAAGGTACAGCAGTAAAATGTGAGGTGAGGTCTGAGTAGGAGGAGATGTCACAGCCTCAGCTGGGTGGAAATTCTGTGGGGAATTGGTTGTTAATCATCACAATGCTCTTCAAGGCTGCGTATCATTTGTGGGTGCAAGTGCAGAATAACTCAGCAGAAAACAAGATGCAAACCATAAAATATGTGTAACACAAGCTTTGCATATTTCCCTGTTTCTAAGGACAATCAGTTGTGGTGCAGGGGCTGCTCCTGCAGAGCTGTGCTTGGTGAGAATTTTCTGGGAGCAAAGATGGTTCTTCATCCCTGTTAGCAGTGTTTGTTGGCTGCCAGCTGTCCCCAGCTCTGAGACCAGGCTGCTCTGTGTGTGTGGCTGACCTGTGCTTGTCCTGGGCGTGTGCAGGTTCCCCTGTGGGCGGTGGCTGGGAAAAGGCGTGGATGATGGCAGTCTGGAGAGAATCCTCATTGGGGAACTGGTGTCCTCCACGTCCGACGAGGAGCTGGGCAAGCAGTGCCGCACCCCGCCCCAGCAGAAGTCTCCCACTGTCACTCGGCGCCTGAGCATCACCTCCCTCACGGGGAGGAACACCAGTGAGTCCTTGCCTTCCTCCCCAGGGTCACAGGGAAGGGAACAGCTGCCAGCTGCTGGGGGAAAAAAGCTTCTGTGTGAGGGTGCCAGTCGTTGGTTTTTCTGGGTCTGGATTGAAGGCACTTGAGTTTGTGTTTGGACTCAAGTGTTGATTATTTCTTATCAGTAAAACAGTCTCACTACTGTGAGTTGGGCAGCTTTTCATTAGAAGGCACAAAATGGCCAACAGTCTCTTGTTACAAGGTCTTTTAAGACTAAACTATCCAATTAAGAACTCACACCTAGATTATTTTCCCTTTTAACCCAATAACTGATCCCACAGAGCCTGCAACATGGGTTTTTCTGCCCAATTACAAAATGCCACCCAAACCCATGGAGAAGAAGCATGAAGAAACCCAGGATGTGTTTCTTCACCCTGTGCCCTCCATCTTGCTTCCATCCACAACATACTAAAAATCCCCAATCCTGAATTTCTCACCAAGTGAAACACCTACACTGCTCTCTATCATCTATTTCACACTTTTGTGGAATCTAGTCTATCTTGAAGTCTAGGAAACTTTCTCCATGAATGAGGGTCAAAGTCAGTGCCCCCCTGGGGGCCAGGGCACCCCAGAGCAGACAGAGAAATATTCCCAGTGCTCTGGGTTTCCACACTTCTGTGAACAGGAGGGTTCATCCTGAAGCAAGGCTTGGTGCAGAGCGGCAGCTGCAAGCCAATGAGCTTTTCCTGCCTCCCTGGTTGGTGTTTGCTCTGTGACGTACATGTTGCCTCTTCAATGTCCCCTTTTGACTGTTGAGAGATAATAATCTCTTTCTTTGGAGCATGGAGATATGAGATGAGGGAGGAGGAGGCAGCAGAATTTGCAGTAGCTGATGCTGCTCAGCCTCCCAACTCACTTTGCAGTCTGAGGGCAGTTCAGAACTTGATGTGACTGCTGGGAGCTGCCTTCTGGCAAAGCTTATCTCTGCAGGGACCCTAGGGCACATCGACCTCACATCCCTAAAATTAGCTTTTATGAGTAACTGCACTTGGCTGCAACAGGACACAGGACTGTGACGGTCACAGGAGGCATTCTCTGCTAAAGCACAGAGGTGGGACAGTGTGGATCCTGTTCATACATCTGTCCAGCTCCTGTAAAATTAGAGGACATGAGTGCTGAAATGACAAGCAAGCTAAGATTAACCTTCAGCTAGTCTGCTCTCCATCATTTCACAGAGCCTAATGCGGGGCAGATCCAAGAGGGAATCGGGGAAGCTGTGAACAACATTGTGAAACACTTCCACAAGCCAGAGAAAGAGGTAATTCCTGCTTTTCATTACTTGCCTGCAAATTTTTATAAACAGAAATGGCACTAAAGTACCAGTAGATGTACTACCTTTAGATCTGAAGTTTCTGGCATCCAAACAAGGCGAGTTGTACTTACCTGCTCTCCCTTTTCCACAGAGAGGGAGCCTTACCATTCTGTTGTGTGGGGAGAATGGTCTGGTTGCAGCCCTGGAGCAGGTCTTCCACCATGGGTTCAAATCAGCTCGTATTTTTCACAAGAATGTCTTCATCTGGGATTTCATAGGTAAGCTGTATGTGATTTAGAGGAGAAAGTTTAGGGCAAAATGACTCCTCACACGTAGACCTTGCATCCTCATCAGCTAGGGGGGCATTTCTCCTGCCAAGCACCTGCTCCAGGTTGCTTAAAGTCAATGAGAAACCTGATGGCAGATTTGAAGTACTAAACTCTGTGTAAGAGTAGAGTGTGAGTCTGCACAGAAATTTTAAGAGTTCCTAGTTCAAACAGCTGCTTTTCTGAGAGAAACAAGGTAGGCTGAAGGTTGGGGTAGAGGAGCAGTCAGTGTTAGGAGGAGAGCCAGGAAAGGGCAGGGAGTGAAAGGTTTGGATTCCCGGTTTATGAGAACTCTCCTAATCATTGCACTGGTGATCCTGACCTGCAGGCCTGTGTAGGGGTAATTTAAGATGTGCTTCCTCCCTTAGAACAGGCTTGCAGGCAGAGATGCTCAGCCTGAGGGTAAGTGCTTACACAGAAAAAGTGAAAAATCACTGCTGATGGTATCACTTAGAGTGAAACCACTGAGGGGTGCTCTGGTGCTCTTCCTTGGTGTTACTGGTGTTAGACATCAGCCAGACTGACCAGTGCCATGCCATGGCAAAGGTGGAGGTGACCACCTACCTGTGGTCTTCAGAGTCAGGAATTCATAGATAAACTGTGCAATAGCTCTCAGCAGGTTGGTTTTTAAGAATTCATTCCCTTGTGTGATCCTGTGTCACAATGAAGTGCTGCTTTTCACTGGGTTCTGATCTTCTCCCTACCACAGAGAAAGCTGTTGCTTACTTTGAAACCAGTGATCAGATTGGAGACAATGAGGAGGCCCTTCTGCTTCAGAGATCTTCATGCAAAACCTTCTGTCATTATGTCAATGCCATCAATACAGCTCCAAGGAACATTGGAAAGGATGGCAAATTCCAGATCCTGGTTTGCCTGGGGACAAGGTACCCAACTGTTCTTCATTATGTGTGTTTTCTGGCATTAGAGTAGAATAATATTTTTCCACCATTGTTTTTGCCTTTAGTTTTCCATTTTAAGACATCTCACGCCTATCTATTATCCAGTGCCTATTTTAGGCAGCTTTAGTACTACGTCAAAAATTGGAGCAAAGAGGCCCTAATAATACATGGCTAGTGTCTAAACTGCTAAAAATGTTTTGAGCTTTTTTTATAGCTGTTAGCTTGACAGTCATGTGTATGAAATCTATTGAAATGCTATTTTTGATGAAGTACTGACTTTGAGAATGCAGAGTTCCTTTTCAGGAGCTAGTGAATTTCTAAATCCTCATTCAAATGCTTGTGAAAATGGGATGCCTGTTATAATTTTGACAGAACTGTTCTTGATGAACCTTTCTTTCCTAATAGGGCGCTTTCTGTCTTGGGGAGGGGTGGGAGGGTGGGACTTAGTTGTGTTTTGAGGGTAGAAGTTGGTATATCTGTAAATGAGTGCCATTTTTGTTTTACCTGTCTGGATACTTGGAAAACCAGTGGGCAAACAGTCTGTCAGCTTTTCCTTGAGTTTTAATTTCCCTGTTCCTGATCTAAAAATGTCTCTGAATTCTCACAAATGTCCAATTCTGCTAATACCTTTCAATTTTCATTTCTACAGTAGGTAGTATTTTACTAACCAAATCAAGGGTTACGATTATGCGGCAAACTCGTACGTGCAAACAGCACCCACTGCTCACAAAAAAGGGCTGCATGTTTTGGGTTGTGCCCTTCTTGGGGGAAGAATTCCAATGTGATATCTGTGGTACAACTTGGTGTTAAAACAATTCCTGTGCTGCCCTTTTCAGGGACCACCTGCTGTCCCAGTGGATCCCGCTGCTGGCGGAGTGCCCGCCCATCACCAGGATGTACGAGGAGAACGCTCTCCTGCGGGACCGCATGACTGTCAACTCCCTCATCCGGGTCCTACAGACATTGCAGGATTTCAACATCATCCTAGAAGGGTCGCTCATTAAAGGAGTGGATGTTTAGCATGGCTTTGCTGAGAACTTCATTACTCCTTTCCCAAACAAGCAAACCACAATTGGAGACCTGTCAGGACTTGAATGCCATGGTAGTGCACCACTGTAAGGCAAAGCTGCTGGTGGAAGCAGGATTGGGAATCCCAGTTTGTGCCCGATGGGGACTGGCCTCTAAAGCTGCAGAAAGCTAAGATGCAGTATTGTAGTTTATTTGAAACAGAAATTTAGTACAAAAAATAGAGTATTTTCATGTGTTAGATGTGTGTAAATATGCTATCTTTCTTTAAGAAATTATATTACTCTAAGAAATTTTTCTTAGAATGAATGTTCTTGTTCTGACTATGAGTAGCTTAAACCCAGGGGAAGGACTTGGGGGAGGGAGGGAAGGACCAAGGTGGGAAGGGATGCCGCTACTTGCTTGCGAGGAAGAAGCCAATCAACGTGTAAATACAGTGCAAACTCAGCAGGGCTTTTTTCAGGTATTGCAAATTAACACAGCAAATATCCTTCTGTAGCCATTGTGATTGTGTCACTCTTGGAAATGCTGTAAGCATATGCTGGTTTACCCTACTGTACATGGTCTCTCTTAGTTTGTTGTTTGTTCAAGGACTCGCCTTCCATGCATGGAAGCAGTGAGTTGTTGGGTTTTCTTCTGTAAGGTCTTTTGTCTCACTCCTGTTGATCTCCAAAAGGGGAAACAAGTGTTGGAATGCTTAAACACTGGAGAGAAGGACTGCTGTCAGCCTCAGAGCCTGAGAGGATGAGACACCCCTGGAAGCCTTGCTGCTGCAGCCTGAGATGGGGAATGCTGGCTTGCTTGACTCGCTCAGTGTGTCCCTTCCCTGTCTGGATGTTCTCATGATTCACCCTCAGCCAGTTTGTGTTATGGATGACCTTTTTATTTTTCTCATGATGAGGAGTTTGGTTTATGCCAAATTCTTGCTGTACTTGAGAAGAATCATTGCTGTAGAACAACAAATGCTGCTGTTGCTGTGCTACCAAACTGTATCAGCTGGCTTTGAAATGCTGACAGGTGATGAATCTTCCTTTATCCTGCACAATGAGTGTTCCTAGGGGAGTACAGGATCCAGGATGACTTTTTTTTCTCAATTATCCAGCTACAAAATGAAAAGGAATTAAGCAAAAGGAGGAAAAAAAAAATCTCATGTTGATATTTTGAGGCTTCTCTCCTACACTTTCTTTGTATGCACTAATACAGTGTATATATGGAGATACAGCTCTTGAAGAGGAGCTGGGAACAACTGTATGATACAGATTGAACAAGAGATTATATCAAAATCACCTTGTGAACACCATGTAGCAAATACAGAGTGTATTTTCCATTCTTGTGGATGGAGTTGGAAGGGTCTGATGACACAGCTGACTTCACCTGGTTTTAATTTTTGGAAGTTAGTTCAAATACAGGTTTTTTGCTTTCACTTGTTTATTCCCTACGATCTTGGGCCTTTGGTCAGTGGATTCTTTGGAGGTCTCACAGTCAGCTGAGGCTGGGGAGAGCCCCTGACTGGTTCTGTGGGTGTGCTGCCTTGCCCTGTGCTCTCAAGTGACATCAGGAGGGGCTTGGCAATGCTGGGCAGTGGCAGGTCTTGGCATAGTGTGTGCATGGTGGAAAGAGGGATGGGAGATAAGGAAAAAGAAAGAAGATGAAAATTAGGGTTTGCTTTCTCACCCACCTTTTGTCAAGCTTCTCTGCTTTCCTGTGGTCCCTTTGCTGCTGGATTCTTAGAGCAGCACTCACTTCAGTGTCAAAATTTCGTATCAGACTCCCAACCAGAAGAAAACTCTTCATGTAACTTTGTTTCATTGGAGAGTTTTATGTTATAGAAGTCTTTTTGTTTCTAAGAAAGAAGTAAAATAACACTGTCAAGGAGCCTTCCACTTTAGTGAGGGTTCCAGCTTTCAATAAGCAATCTTTCCTCCTGAGCTTCTGCTTCCTTAAACTGACTGAACTCATCCCAAATACTGCAGGCAGCGCTGCCATGTCACTGCTGTGGGTGTGAGTAACTAATGTAAAGGCTGTGAATGTTGTCTCGAGTTAGTAGCCAGAGCCCACAGCTGTGTGACATCTCTTACATTTCCAGAAATGTGAAATTTGGGGTGTTAGGGTTTTCTGTGTAGCCAGGCATGCCTGCTTAAAGTCAGCAGGCAAAGCATGACAACCCTTCAGCAGCAATTGAAAATGTGTCCCTGTACTTAGTTCTATCAATGAATTATACATTTAGCACCAGAAACCATGTGGCAGCATTATTTGGTAATGACTGCTTAGGATGTTTTGATTTCTATTACAACTCAGGCCTTTGATGTCTAATGACTGCTGTACAGGATTTTTTCACGCCCAGCCCAGTCTAAGTGACTATTTCATTTTACTGAAATAACCACCTCTTTAGTGCTTGGATTTCTTCACAGCATCATCTGCATTTGCAGACTGGAAGCTTCCCAAAGTACATTGCTGCAGACTTCTCCAAAGGCTGTGTATGACTGGAGCAGTTGTAACACTCATCTGACATGACAAGGGTTAAGTGCAAGCAGGATAAAGGAGAAATGTAGGCACCTCTAAAGGTCATTCATTTAAATGAATAAACCACATACAGAGAAAAAAGGCAATAACTACATTAAGTCTTTCTTAAGTTAAAAGAAGTCCAAACCTGAGAATTTTTAAAATTCAGATCAGGGCCTCTCCCCATTTCAGACTACATTAAGAAACCTTTAGCACTTAACACAACTTCACCTCAGCTTTTTCAGCAAGTGTTGACTTGTTTGGTTTTGTCAGGTTTCACATCATATTAATAATAATACAATAAAAATTATGTATGTCTCATGTTTCCTTGCAGGCAATAAACCACCCCAAGATATGTGGAAAGGGGCACAGCTGAGTGCCTCAGATTCCTGGAGTAGTTATTGGACAGCCTTGGGAGAATGGTTCTTCATAGTGAATTTTTATTCTACTGTGTATAATTTTTTTTTTTTTTTTTTTTTTGTGGACTACTTTTGTTGATTGGGAACTGTGAGGTTTTTTTCTGTAAGGTTTACAGAAATCATTCTACCCACTAGAATGGTGAGAAACCCATCAGGATTCTTCTAAGCTAACACAGCTTTTGCTTCAGTGTTAAAGCACCTTCTTTGGTTGAGAAAGGGAATCTTGGAGAAGACCAAAGCTCTCTGATATCTGCTTTGTAAAAAAACAAAAAAAAATTCCTATCTAATGCCCATCTGCAGTTGTCTGAGTTTGCATAGTCCAGTTGTACTAACATGGTAACGTGAGGGAGTCAGAGAATCTAATGCCTCACTATGTACAAAATGTGTATTTATAATTCTCTGAAATAAATGAAGTTGTACTGTTTAGTGAAAAATCTGCTCATGTTTATTCCAAGTTGGTTTGTGTAATTAGCTATCATTGTTCAAAGATGTGTTTTTAGGGTAGTTGCAGCGTGTTTGAGGGAATTCCTTCTTTCAATCAAACGAAGGTGCACATCGTGAGGGGAAATGTTGTGTGTTACACTTGAAATGTACAAATGTGCCCTGTATAGCTTAAAACGATCCCTAAATGTCTCCGTTGAGTATATTTTGTCTTTACATTATTACTAACTGAATAAGAACTGGATTATTTTCAAGACAACATTAGTAAAAGTATTGTTATATCAAGCACTTTAACATACACACCACGAACCGACATGGGTTTTTCAGGTTTTGAAGTACATTGAAATACAGCTTTTCATGCTATGTCCTTTACAAATAAAACTGTGACAGTAATGGTTGGTGTCACTTTCTCCTTGCAGAGGAACCAAGAGATTTGGGTCTCAAGCTGAGGAGCTGCTCTGAGCCTGGAGGGAGCAAACCAAATAGAATGATCCAGCTGGTGGTGACTCTGGTACTGGGAATTTGCTGGAGCAAGGATGGGGAGAAGGGGTGTGAGGGACTGTTCCCAAAACCAGCCCTTCTGCCTCCCCAACACAAAGGGAGGCAGAGACCATACTGAGCCCTTTATTCCAAGGCTTGGGTGCAAAATGTGGCTGATTACAGGGAAGAAATGGGATCCCAGTGAAGCAGAGCTCTTACCAGGGTGAGGTTTGCTCAGCAACAGGATTGCTTTGCCCTTGGTATCTGGAGGAGGAGGATGGGATTAACTTGTAGCAAAGGGTCTCTTTCCTCTTATAAAATGAGTTGCTCTGATATTTGAACTCAGGGTCAGAATGCTGGGATAAAGCTTGTGATCTCCAGTCTGTCAGGCAGCATGTTGTGGAAGGAGGAGGGTGGATGGATGAGAGATGGATGCCTACAATAAAAAAGGTGCAAAGCAGAAAAAAAGATAGTGAAATGCCCTCTACTCTGAGTTGGACTAGATTTTCAGAAATTTCTCCCATGTCCCTCCCAGCTTCAGATATGCTGGAATTGGCAAAAACAGGAGAATTTTTGGAAACTTTGACAGTTTGAGATGCAGAGCCGTGCATGAGTGTGTGCATGGCACATGTGAGGTGCAGCATGTCTGTTCATTTACTTTAACTCTGTTTAGAAGAGGCAGAGAATCTCAGGAGAGGACTGAAAGTCTCAGAGCTTGGGACCATATATGTGGGAATCCTGAAATATATTGTGTGTTGATACTGGTGCTTATCAGCATTATAGATGTGAATAAAATCTGTAGAGCTGCTTATTGTCAAATGTCAGTGGGTGGGGTGGCCATACCTTTACACCTTCTGAATAAATGTGTGTAAATTAGATGTGTGTGAATTAAATGTGTGTAAATTAGAGACCTGACATCTTAAAGGCAGTCAGTACTGGAAGTAGGGCAGAACTAAGCTTGTCCAGGTGAGCAAGTGCAAATAACTCCCTCTCTGCTGTGCTGTCATTGATGCAGTCTGGGAGCACTGCAGTATTTTCTGCAAAGGAGGAATAGAAGAAAACTGAGAAAACTGACATGGGTAGGAGTTGAAGTAGCTCATCCATCTGGTTTGTTCCTTCCCAGCATTTCAGGTAAGCTTGTTCAATAAAAAAATTAATTGTGTTCAGTGAAATGGTGAGTGAAAATGCTTCTCTGGCTGTGCCCCATCAGCTGAGAGGCTGCTGTGGCTGCAGTCAGGGAGCATTTCATTGCTGACATTCCTGATTTCTCCCCTGCTATTCTCTCAGCCATGTATCATGAGCTGCTTTGAGCCCAGCACAGGCTGTGAGGGGAATGGGAAATTCCTGTCTGGGTCTGCTATCTGGTGGCTGGTTATGGTAAACTCTGCTGAAGCCACTGCAGAGCTGATTTGTCAGTGGAGCTGCAGTGGTTCTGCAGGAGGGCTTTGCACTGCACGGGGCCCATCTGCATCCCTGCACACCTCACGGGGCATCTCAGAGCCTCTGAATGAAATTCCTTTGTCAGAATGTCAGATCAGGCCAATTATTTTGTCTTGAACCAAGCCCAGCTTTGGAGAGGGAGGGATAAGCCTCAGGAGGAAACACAGCCAGCCCCCCTGATCCTTACCCACAGCAAATTGTTTTTCGTATTTTTCAGCTCTTTTCCATGCTGAAAAGGAGCCCACTGCTAGGTGATCTAATGACTGCCTGGTTACCATTCAGTAATGGATTCAGTGAGATCCATAAAAGTAAAATAGTCGGGGCTTGCATAAGAGAGACTCAGGTGTTCACACCAGTCACTGAGTAGCAGAATTATCTGTAAGAGATGTCCCCATCTTCACCCAGGACATTCAGGGGCAGATTTTCCTCTGCTCCCATGGTCAGAGGGAAAATTATACAAATCTAAACTAAAATTAAACTCAATAGCAGCCAGATGTTGCATTCTCCTGCTTTCAAAGAGAAAAGAGAAAATTTTCCACAAAAGCTGGTGCTAGCCTAGGAAAGCCATTTCCCTGCCCCTGCAGCCAGTGGGAAGAGATGGGCTCCTTCAGTAGGCCTTGCAAGGAGAAACCTCACTTGGCTGCTTTTAATTATGCCTAAAGAAGCCCAACAGAGGCAGCTTGCCCTTGGAGGCTGTGCAGGCATTAATCTTTGTGAATATTCCCACCAGCACTGTCCTCCCATGGAGTGTTCATTCCTTCAAAGGCACCCAAGTGATACATTGTGATACATTTACGAATCAAAAAAATAAACTGTTTACCGGAGTAAAATCTAAATGTGATGGACTCGGGCAGTTTTGGGGGTTTTTTTACAATATATTGATAATTTAGATATCAATTTTAAAAGACAAATTCCTTATTTTTCTTACAGAGGCACACAATAGAGACCAGAAAATGTGGCTTCTAAGTCTCCCTGACTTGCCCCAGGAGCTTTAAGCAATTTGCTTCTGTCGTATCCCATCTTGCAGGTAGGGAGCTGATGTACAGAGTGGGGGGACTTTGCTGCAGCCAGTTCTGCCTCACCAAGGAAGATTGTCCATCCTTGGGGTCAGCAGCTGCCCCTGCAGCACCCACTGGTGTGTGGCTGAGAGCTGCTTTTCATGCTG